CAACTGGAATAGTGTCTGTGAACAAGGTTGAGTTACCAAACTTTTTAGGCAGACCAAGATCTGGATCATCGGTGAGTGGCTGTGTGTCGGACTCTACATCTGAGGCCTGAGACGTTTGAGAAGCTTGAGACTGAGTCCGGACATGCAAAGCCGGGGCTTTCTCCTGACCAAACATGCCCGAGTACTCGTTGGCTCGTGGTGGGTTAAACCCATAGAGAGCATACCTTCGAAACATACAACCAGTTCCGACATAGACCGGACCTTGTAACCCATCTAGTGCTCTCATGTTACCGTCGAAGAAGACGGTGTTGTGATTTGCGTAACGATCGGACGGGTCGATGCCTTCGAACCGTTGTGGGAACTGAATGTAACAGATTCGGTCGCCACCACGGTCCATCATGAAACACATTCCTTCTTTGATAGCTTTGGAGTTGTATATGTAGTGATCACAGTCAAGATTGAGGATGAAGGCGCCGTTTGATAGTATAGCTGAAGCTCTAACCATACCGTTCATGGCACCGGCTTTCTTGTTGTGGTCAAAACCTGGACGTTTCTCACGCGAGACGTACGCAAACATTGGTACTCGTACATCGATACCGGTGAAATCCAGCGAGCCTTCGTTCGGTCCGCCCATAACCGGTTCAAGCTCAGGAACTTTGCTCATGATCTACAAAAAATTTGGATTCAAAGTTTGGTTAGGGTTTTTTTTCTTGGTTTTTGATTTCGGGTTTGATGGTTTGGTTTACCTGTAGGATTCCGGCGTGGTCTCCTTTTGAATGGTCAGGTTTAGGTTCGAACCACGTTCCTGGCCAATGCGTGCCATCAGCCATCCACGTTGCTTTGACCACCTCAACACCATCCGGAGGCAATACGCCGCCGTTTTTCTCTCTTGCGATTCGTTTCTCCTTGAGCTCTTCTCTCAAGTTGAACTGCTCAGCTCTTTTCTTGATTTGCTCTGGAAGACCGTTGATCCTGACTTTGAACTCGTCGTACTCACGCTTGATCCAACGACGGTCTTTCACAAAATCTTGCCTTTTCTTGTTTTTGGTCGGGTCTTTCTTGATGCTAAAGTAACTATCAGGGTTTCTCGGCTCTATGTCATGTTTCCTGCAAAATGGCACCCAATACTGCAAACAAAAGCCATATCAAATCTTTTGCCATGACTAGAGGTAAGACAGCGAGGGAGAGAAAGTTGAAAAATGAAACCTCGGCAAAGCGAACAGCTTCAGCCATGGCTTCAAAGGTGAGAATAGCACCACCGTCGTCTGAAATGTAAGCAGAGAGCTTCTCGATCGGATAATCCACGGCGAGGATGGAGAGGAGAGTGTTTGCGGTGACTAAAGGCGGTTCCTTCTCAGGATCAGCTGTGGAAACAAACACATCAACACCGGGAAGATCAGAGCGACCAGTAGGGTTTGACGGAGAAGGCTGCTCAAACTTGTCATGCAAGGCAGCTAGGTCCGTGGCTCTGTTTATAGGGTTTAGCTTTGGAAGAATGTCGAGAATCCAAGAGAAGGCGAACCAAATCTCGCACACTATCGATAGTCCCCATAGCCACATTGCATCCTCGTTAGGATTCGTGATACGCCACCAGAGGAAGAAGAAGACTATCACGAGACGAAACAGGATCAATAGCCTGATGATGAAACAGACAAAGGGTTTTCAAAAGTTGCGTGACGAAAACGTAAGCAAAGAGAGAGATTTGTGAAAGAAAAACAAACCTGTATGGACTAAGAATTTTGGCGGGGATTTGAACTTTCCTGGTGAGCGGTTTCCATGGCTTGTCAAAGAAATCTGACATGCTAACGCCACCATCACCGGTATCATCCTCTTCCGACCAAAACGCGTTTCCGATTCCGTATTTGCCTTTGGATTCAAACAACCACCTGTTGTGATCGAAATCTCCTGTTTGGCTCCTCAACAGCATTGATTTGTTATTCGACTTCATCACAGATAGTCTCCTATCCAGCTTGTTCCCCATCTTGGAGCCGTCGCCACCACCGCCGCGGTTAGCGTCGGGTTTCGACTCGGAGGTGGACCCGGAGGAGCCAGCGGGCTGGTTGTCCGGTGTAGGAGGCATGAGGACGGTGTAGTTGATGTAGTCGCTTTGGCCGGAGTAATCACCAGAGACGTCCATGTCATCGTCGCGGGAGAGGCTAACAATGCGGCCACTGGACGTCCGGCGACCGAACTTGACGGCTTGTGGAGGCCGGCTTAAGGAGGAGGATTGTGAGTTTAAGGTCTTCTTTGGTGGACTTGAAGCCATATTATTTTAGAGTTTTCTTGTTTTGGGTCGTTTGGTTTCTTCAGAGAGAAACTGAACCCATTTTCTTCTTTGACAAACCTGATTTAGGAAAAAAATAGGCAAAGATTTAGAAACAGGGGAATTTGTGTAAAAAGGTTAAACGAAAACGAATGTTTCTGTTTTTGTTTTTTGAAATGTATAGACTATCAGAATTTCAACGGTTCATAGATCCTTTGCTATTATAAGAAAAAACTTAAAATTGAAATCTATGAGTTCTGAAATCTCCTTTCTTTATGCTTTGCCTCTCTCTTTCTCCATTTCTCTATGTGAAATGAAGAATGCTATCAATGGTTTAAAAGGTTTTATATGACATTGTGAGCAATATATCCGAGAAAAATATTACTTCAGTAAACAAAAGCCAAACAAACCATTGAATTTCCCTAATTTAGCCAATAGACAAAACCATTGAATGTCGTCGGATCAGAAACTATACCGAAGCAGATCAGGGTCAATCGTTGTGATTAATATAGGCTCAACCATCTCCGTCAGCTTCATTGCAGCAATGCTGGATAATTTGGAAAGCCGAAACTGCCTCCGGAATCGAAGAGCAACCGCCAAATCACATCGAGAGGAGAGTGTATATAAATCCAGAGCTCAAGCAGAAGGACCGGCATTTTTTCGCTAGTGAGGAAGAGAATTAGAGAAATGTAGTCAAACATAATTAAGAAATTAGAAACAAGCAAGAGCTTTTCAGCAAGTTAAAAAAATCAATACTTCTTAAGATCATCCCCAATAATTAATACAAAAGATAATAAAAAAATCTGTATCTAAGAAAGAGTTTCACTTCCAAGACAAAACCGACGGTCGAAATTCTGACATAACGATAACAAAAAACTATATTTATGATTCTTCTTCTTCTGGGCTTCTTTTTCCCCCAAACTCTGTCTTCTCATTGTGTTTTTGGCTTCTCGATCTTGACATAAGGAAGCACACCAAGAAAGTATTTCACCTTTGGATTCCACCCACGTTGCTGAGCTCGACAGAACATCAAGAACGTGTTCGCACAGTAAGAGTTGAAACTCATAAAGACATGCCACAGCGCATGCCCCTGAGGATTCACAGGCCACTGAGATATCGTCTTGCAGAAGACACGGTCACAGAACCAGCAAACGCTTCCCACAAGGATCGTAGCAACGTACCACTTCGCAATCCTCTTGGCCGCCGTGTCCTCCGTGTGGATGTAGTACTTGTACATCCGAGGAATGCACAGAAGGCAGAGGATCACGTAGTGGACCTTGAAACCGATGCCAAACCTCAGGTAAGCGTGGACCACGGCAAAGGCAGCTCCGTAGAGGAAGAGAAACGTCGGCATTGTACTTCTGTAATGCCAATCTGGTGAGTAAAGGATGTACATGTAAAGAAGTATCTCCCACACCATTGGGGTCTCATCACTCTGTTGTTGCCTGTTTGAATCAAGAAACACAGAATTACAATCCAATAACCACAGAATCTGAATCAAGATCTTAAACAATCGAGAATTTAAGTGGTACTTACACGTGCTGCAAAGTGGCATGGTAGAGCATGCTGCCGATGGCAAGAATCATATTGGATATGTGAAGAATGCTAAACCTCTTCTCGAACCGTTGCCTTAAGGCATTGACAAGACCAATGAGAGCCAGAAGGATTCCAGGGACATTGGATATGGTGTTGTAGAACTCTGCAATGTAGGATGAGTAGGCGTAGTTGTTCTCACAGCACTCTATAGTAGAAGTCACGGGACCCCAAAAGCTCGATATCCCATCCGCCATTTTCTGTTCCTCTCAGTATGAATTTTACTCCTCTGATAAAGCCTCCAGACACTAGAGAACACCAAACCCATTTCAAAAGATCAAACTTTAATAGCAAAAAGAAAATAACATGATTCAATCAAAGTGCACCAAAAGTTACAAAAAGGAATCTACATGAAAATTGACTTTATTTAGCTATTAGCTTCACCAGATGTTCTCTAAAGGCACCAACAAAATTGAAAAGGACAGTCTAGTAACCAAAGAAATAAAACGTTTGCTTGCTGAAACATGCAACATACCATATTAAGTATAAACTAATGATTGAACAAACCAACACGCTAAAGATTCTAAACTATTCTTAAGAGAAAAAAGTGTATCTTCACAGTATAAATTGAAACCCAGATCAAAAACATGTTTGCAACAATGTACAGGAAGTGAATAGATTCAAAAAAAAAACGTCACGTCAATCCATCACCAACAAAAAACCAGAAATTTTCATCCGAGAATTCGCAGAAAGCAATTGTAACACTGAATTCCGAATCTAAAACAACGAATCTAGGTCTCAGGTAAACAATGATGATGCCTACTCAGGTCAAAACTAAGGGGGATCCAGAGGAAAAATCAGATCGACGACGTCAATTCTCGATCTCGAAACCAAAAATAAGAGAAATCTACCACGAAACAAAACCGATCCACCTGAGAAACTACCAAAAAAAAAAAAAGGAACAAACCGTTTATTTCGTCGCGACGCAAAAAGAGGTAAAAGAGATCTATCTCCCTCCTTCACCGCGTTCGTCAAAACCCAGAGAAAGTCTCTTAGCTCTAGCAAAACCCAGCCATGGCAGATCGGAAGGACTCAGATGGGAACAGAAATCTTCGGATGACCTTTCTCTCTCCCTCTCTCTCTCTCTCTCTCCTCTCTTTCTCTCGTTCCTTCTTCTCTTCTCTCTTTTTCGTGGTTTCGGCAATTGAGGGGCATTATTGACTTTTCATCTACCGTGATGTTGGATTAAGTAAAAACAATAAAATAAAAAGAAAACCTATGCGCGGCGCTGACTACAACACCGTCGACATGTGATGGTAAATTGGTAAATTTAGTGATTTGTGTTTGTGGTCCTATTTATTATTTATTTTCCTTAATGTGGATATACAGATAATTAATTTACCAATAAGAGACATAAATTAAAGTTCAAGGATTCATTTACTGTTTAGAGACATAAATTAAAGTCCTCACAGATTTAAACAAATCTATCAACTAATCATTTTGAATATATCTAGATATTTTTTAGTTTAAATTCTTTTTGTTGTTTGAGCATTGGAAAGAATGATTAGGCAACTTGTTTTTTAGCGAAAGAGAAAACGATATTTTGACTAGTGGGGCCATAAAGGTTTCTCTCATGTGTTTTAACGATTGAAAAAATGCCAACGCACAAAAGGTTAACGCAGCATATGAAAATTGTTACAACTTACAAGTAATTAACTAGGATTCTGTATGATGACTTTAAGGAGTTAATGTGTAGGAGTCTCATTCTAATGTTCTCAAGTCACAAGACGTTTTGAGAAAGCTCGTGAGGCAGAGATGACGACATTATTTAAAACCTTGCTCTCTTATTATGCTTTTGTTTCCTGCTGGTATCTAGATTCTTTGTGCGTTTCTTATCCACGATTTTCGTCATAACATTGTCTTATCTACTAAAATCTTCTTCAGTACGTAACAGTAAGCACCCTTAGAGCTTTTACATATTCGAAGAGCAACATATCAGACTCAAAAAGAGTTTTACATATTATAAGAGCACTATATACGTATTTAGGCTAAGCTAATTAATACTAAGACCTCATATGTGATTAGGGTCTGATGAAGTTGCTTAAAGTTCCTTTCCGCCTACGCCGGCACACCTGAAATGAAAATCAAAGCCCAAGTCAAGATTTGCACCAAACCACTTGAAGTAGTCAGATTTCTCTTTATTGTAAACGTTAACCTATATGATGTTGACTCAAATTCCACTTTCTAAGGCTTCCGATAATGTTTCATAAGTCAAGAAGAAGATGAGTCTTAATACAAAAACAGAGAAATACCAAAATGAGTCATGACCATTGGATTCAATACACTTACCTTTGACTTGATGTAAGTTTAGCTTCGAAGTTCCATTGCATTACTCATAACTTCAGCTTGAATCCCTTAGAGAGAAAAGCATCCCTGAAATTGTAACATAACATGTTTTAAGCATATTGATGCATTTTTACTATTCACAATCCCTAACATGCCAAAGAATGAATATACCCCTATAAAGACATACATTTTATCAAAAAAATCTTATTCATAGAGATGAGCAGATTTACCTTTTGTTACTCTTGTGCATCACTTTCTTCTCACGAGCATTGCGAGGATCTCCTTTACAGTACTATTCCCACTCTCACTCTCGGTCTAGATTAGTAGAGATTTAACAGAGCTACTAGAGATTTATCAGAATCTGGGGAGTCAGATTTTTTTTTTGTTTTGAAGAACTTTGATTCTACGGTTAGAAAGTATTGGCATGGGCTTTATTGACATGTTTATCATGGTTTAATAGTGGGCCTAATGCGGCCCAAACAGCAAAATTACTATTTTCCTCTTGCTAGCTAGTTTCTTATGTGTTTTCGTTATCCACAACTTTCATCACAACATTGTGATCTCTGCTGAATCATTTTTGCATCGATACTAGATCTCAGACTAAAATATATGCAACTAATTACGACGTACTGAAAATTACCGTTTGGTAGGCTATTTTGGATTTTTGATGAGACTGAGTCTACCAAAGTCAAACCCAAATTGCAAAAGAGTACATCGCAACAGACCGGACTCAAAAGAGTTTACATATTAGACGAGCATTATCTACTCTTGGGACATATACGTACTTAGGTTAAGCTAATTAATACTAGGACCTCATATGTGATTAGGATTTGATGGAGTTGCTTAAAGCCATTTCTTTTCCGCCTAACGCCTGCACCTGCACATGAAAATCAAACCCCAAGTCAAGATTTGCATCTACATGTTTCAAACTCCAAAACACTTAGTCAGATTTCACCTAATTGTAAACGTTAACCTATAATGTTGACTCAAGTTTCACTTTCTAAGGCTTCCGATAATGTTTTGGCATCTTAAGAAGAAGAGGAGGCTTAATACGAAAATGAAATACCAACTTCAGGGAAACACTCATGAGTACCATTAAATTCATTACACTTACCATGATGTAAGATTAGGCTTCGAAACTCCCCTGCATTCCTCAGAGCTTCAGCTTGAATCCCTTGGACAGATAACCACCCCTGAGATTGTATCATAAACCACACTGATACATTTTACCATTTGCAATCCCAACATATCAAAAAGGCACCTCCTAAGACTCAGATTTGCCTTATTGTCTTATGATCCATATCTAAAATCTTATCAAATGATTCAAAACGTTAAGAAATCAGATGAGCAGATTTACCTTTCGCTACTCTTCTGCATCATTCTCTTCTTTCGAGCTCTGCCAGGATCCCCATTACATCCCAAAACAAGGCTACTCACGAGAATCTCTGCGCTACATGCACCCTCACAATCCTTAATCCCAAGCGCCTGAAAAGTCTCACTCGCCAAGTCATACCACACGAGCTTCCCAACGTTAATCTCCAGCAAAACCTTGCTCTTGTCCTTGGAATACATCAAAGGTCTCACAAAGTCCAACGATACCACGCCCACTGGTTTCCTCACACTAAACAGCTTACTCCAAGATCCTTCAGGTTCATATTCCCGCTTCATCCAAACATCAACATGTGGCGACTCGTTGTAACACATCATACAAAGGCAGCCATCTAAAACACACAGATCCATCTTATCTTCAAAAAAAAGATCCAGTGGATAAAAGACGAATTCAAACTCTTCAAAGGCAAGATCAAATCTTATAATCGTGTTGATGGCGACACCGTTCCCTCGAGGCAAAATCCAGTTAAGACTATTCCTTACTTGAACACCGTTTTGACGGCGATGCAACACACGGTAGTAGAAGTAGAAGAATTTCATCGCCATCTCAAATTGCAATTCGACTCTCCTCCATGAGTTCCTCTTTAGGCTGAAAACTTTGATCTCATACCCAACTAGATCATCACCCACGTCTTTTTTACACTGAATCATCCTCACGACTTTGTAATCGTCGTTCGCCGAATCGTAGCCCAATCCGTACAACACATACTCGCGGGTGATCAAACGTTCCGGGAAATCAACAGGCTCAATCGGTAACCGGTGGAATTTCCGGGTCGATGGATTGAAAAGCGCCATATCAACCGGAGAGTTCGCTAAACCGACCAAACCGTTAACCGAACCGAATACCTCCGTTAAACCGCCGGATTGCAGAGGGTGATCGACGTCGGAGACTTTATCCTCCGGTGAGTCGAGGTACACCGTTCGTAGAAAGCGAGGGCCTCGAAGCAGAATCATGAGGTGGTCTCCGGTTTCGATGTTGCGACGCGACGAAATCGGGACTGTCGATTAGAGAGAAGCAAGGCTTCGAGAGGACTCGACATCGGACCAATGTAGTTGCCGGGAGACGGAGGAATAGATCGTTGATGATATCCGTCGGAAGATGCGCCATTTCTATCGCCGGAAACTTACTACTCCTACTCTCACTCTGAGTATCGATTAGTAGAGGTTTAGTAGAGCTAGGGATTGTTCACAATCTGGGGAATCAGATATTTTGTTTTGAAGACAAATACTATAACTTGATTATCTTAGATACTTTTTTGTCTATACATGGGCCTAATGAGGCCCAATAGTTTACAAAGAAAACACCATTTAATTTCCACGTGGTGAGCACTGTCGATGTTTAGCTATGTGATGAGCAGCCCGTTCATGGCACATAACAGTTTTATGCGGTTTTTGTTTACATCTCTTGTTTCATAAGTCGTTCTTCTTCCATGCCTTATATAATTTTCTAAACTTGTTTGGAATAAGAGGGAGGCTTATTGAGTAAATTCTTGGAGATGAGAATGAATTTGCCAAATCATTAACATATTTTCTCTTCTAGGTACTTTTAGACTTCCTTGAATTATCACAAAGATAACTCGTGCGTTAGAGATGACTGACATTTTTCAAAACATTGCCCTTACGCGTTTGTTTCCTGCTGATAGCTAGTTTTTGTGTTTTTGTTATCCACAATTTTCATCACAGCATTGTGAGCTCTATTAAATTTTCTTCACTAGCAATATTTGCACCCATACTAGATCTCAGATTGAAAATTTGCAATAAACTACGACGTCCTGAAAATCACCATTTGGCTGGCTATTTTGGGTTTATGATGAGACTGCGAGTCTACTAAGTCAAACCCATATTGGAAAAGCGTACATCGCAATAGACCGGAGACAAAAGAGTTTACATACTAGACGAGAGCTATCTACTCTTAGGACATACGTACTTAGGTTAAGCTAATTAATACTAAGACCCCATATGAGATTAGGATTTGATGGAGTTGTTACTTGCTTGTAGCCATTTACTTTCCGCCTACGCCTGCACCTGCACATGAAAATCAAACCCCAAGTCAAGATTTGCATCTACATGTTTCAAACTCCAAAAGACTTGAAATAGTCAGATTTCTCCTTCTTGTAAACGTGACTCAAGTTCCACTTTCTAAGGCTTCCGATAATGTTTCGTAAGTTAAGAAGAAGATGAGGCTTAATACAAAAAAGAAATACCAACTTCATGGAAACACTCATGAGTCATGAATGACCATTAAATCATCACACTTACCACATGATGTAAGATTAGGCTTCGAAATTCCCTTGCTTTCCTCAGAGCTTCAGCTTGAATCCCTTGGACAGAAAACCACCCCTGAGATTGCAACATAAGATGTTTAACCACACTGATACATTTTACCATTTGCAGTCCCAACATATTCAAAACGTGTAAGAAATCAATGGCTAGAGATGAGCGTATTCACCTTTTGCTACTCTTCTGCATCATTTTCTTCTCTCGAGCTCTGCGAGGATCTCCTTTACATCCCATAACAAGGCTACTCACCAGAATCTCTGCGCTACATGCACCCTCACAGTCCTTAATCCCAATCTCCTGAAAACTCCTAGTCCCCAAATCAAACCACACTAGCTTCCCAACGTTAATCTCCAGCAAAACCTTGCTCTTGTCCTTGGAGTAAATCAGAGGTCTCACAAACTTCAACGACTCTACACCATCCGGTTTCGTCACCCTAAACAGCTTACTCCAAGATCCATGCTCAACCTCGTAATCCCGCTTAATCCAAACATCCACATGTGTGAACTCGTGGTAACCAATCGAACAAAGGTAACCATCTAAAACACACAAATCCATCCTCTCTTCATACCAAAGATCCCTTGGGTAATCCTGCGTTCTAAACTCCTCGGAGGTAAGATCAAATCTTACGATCGAGTTCATGGCGATAAGTCCTTGCCTTCGAGGCAGAATCCAGTGAAGGTATTTCCCTACTTGAACACCATTTTGACGGCGATACAACACATGGTAGTAGAAGTAGAAGAAGAGCGTTTGAATCTGAAATTCCAAATCGACGCTCCTCCATGAGTTCCTCTTTAAGCTGAAAACTTTGATTTCATAATCAACCAGCTTATCACCTTGGATTTTTTTACGCTGAACCATCCTCACGACCTTGTAATCGTCGTTCACCGAATCGTAACCCAATCCGTATAACACATATTTCTGGGTGATCAAACGATCCGGGAACTCAAGAGGCTCAATCGGTAACCGGTGGATTTTCCGGGTCGATGGATTGAAAAGCGCCATATCAACTGGAGAGTTGGTTAAACCGACTAAACCGTTAACCGAACCGAATACCTCCGTGAAACCACCGGATTGCAGAGGGTGATCGACGTCGGAGACTTTACCCTCCGGAAAGTCGAGGTACACCGTACAAAGAACGCGCGGGGCTCGAAGCAGGATCATGAGGTGGTCTCCGGTTTCGATGTTGCGTTTGAGATGCGACGCGACGAAATCGGGACTGTCGATCAGTGAGAAGCAAGGCTTCGAGAGGAATCGACATCGGACCAACGTAGTTGCCGGGAGACGGAGGAATAGATCGTTGATGATATCCGTCGGAAGATTCGCCATTTTTTTCCGTCGGAATCTTACTTCCTCACACTCAGTGACAGTATGGATTAGTAGAGAGATAGTGTAGTGCTAGGGTTTAACAATCTGGAATCAGAATTTTTGTTCTGAAGAGAAATACTTTGATTTTTTTATTTTCGCCAAATGATTCTCCGGTTTACGGGCTAATAGCAAATTTATTGTTTTGAATACTTTTTGATCTGTAAATGGGCCTAATGGTCTGTTACTGGGCCAGTAACTAGTTTGGAATTTTTGGCGCAATAACCCACCGAATAAGGTTGGTCAGGTCGCGGGATCGGCTTAAGCACTATCGACGTTAGCTTTGTGAATAGACGTCCGATGGAAGATAACAGTTTTATGAAGGCTTTGTTTACATCTTATTTCATTATCCGTTGTTCTTAGAACAAGTGCGTGAAACATCTCCGTTTGATTTGCAAAAAGTTCAGCACATTTAAGTAGTTCAAATTCAATCACCGATCAACATGATTTTCGTTCAGTGAAGTCCAAACAATTTAACTTTTTCAAAAGTAAATGAATCTCCATTATGACAATTTAAATCAAAGAACTTAAATCAGGAGGTCAAATCAACTATGAAACAGATAATTAAGACCTATAATTCGACTTACAATCTTTTGTCAAAAGTTGATAATATGATAAAACTTGATTTTGATAAAAAAAAACTAAAAGATAGTGAATTTGATTCAAAGTAATGTAGTTATAAATATAAGCACCAATAAGACACATAGCTGCTCACTAACAAAGAGCAGATTGCCTGGAATGATGCCCAAAGTTTAATCTACGAGAAAGGAGTACTGAAAATGGCATCCAATTGAACAATTCTCTTTTTCCTTAATATCCTCTCTCTCAATTCACATTTTATCAAAACTAAAAATTTACGAAGACGAATCAAAACATGTAAGAAACTCGGTAAGCAGATGAATCGATCGGAGAGATCTAAATCTCTCTCGCGACCACCGGCCAGATAGCTTCTAATCGATCTGGCTATAGCCGTATTGGCAAAATCAAGATCAAGGGTGTGTTATTTCGAGCCCTTCTCTTGGTACAATATAGCCCCAATTAGACAAAAACTAATCATTACGCAAAAAACAAGAATTGAAAGAAACGATTTGGAAGCCCTAATACTAGGCGTCGTGTGGAGAAGAGATGATGTGATAACAATTGGTTGAGGCGATAATTATATAGCGTGAAAGTCGGGGTATAAACGTCTTTTCGATGTAACTCTCTCTGAGGGCTAGGTCACGATTAGCTCCGAAATTCTCTGGGCCAGAGTTTTATGAAATTTACAGTTAGCGTTGACTGGCCCACTTGGTTTTCGATTTGGTTCGGTTGGTCTTTCATTTTCGAATCCGAAAAATAGAACCTTAAAAGGAACCGAATTTTTTTGTTTTCGATTCGGTCCGTTTGGTGTTGATAAAAGTTGGTTCCATTTGAACAGTATTAGTTAATTCAGTCTGGTTGAGCAAATCTCACACTTGATTCGGATTGAGTATAGAAATTTCAAATACCGTTTAACATGTAATTCAATTCGGTTCGGATTTAAATTGAATTTTGGTCGGTTTGGTTTTTGAACCACCCCTTACCCACGGTTGTGGTTTTTGAACACGTGTATATAGTGAAACCCTCTAGGCGAGAAAGAGTCTTCCCTCTGGCAAAAACCACCAATAACATCGCGGCTTCGCAAAATTGAGATCTGAGAGAGAGCGTTCTCTTTCTTTGTTCTTTCGGAGGAAGACGAAATATTGCTTTTTTCTATTTTTTTCTCTTTAACTCTAAACATAATTTACTCATAACAAAATCCTTAACCTGCAAAATAAAATTCTTAATCCGATTGGGATTCGAATTTTGGATTTGATCAGTGAAGCAACAAGAGCGAGTCGTTATGGAAGGAGTTGGAGCTCGGTTAGGGAGGTCTTCGACTCGGTACGGACCGGCGACGGTCTTCACCGGTCCGGTGAGGAGGTGGAAGAAGAAGTGGGTTCACGTCTCTCCCTCCGCAAAGAAAGACAATAGCTCCTCCGCTTCCGCCGCAGCCGTCGTTAACGGCGGTTCGGCTACCGACGGCAATAACGGATCGCATTTGCTGCTGTATAAGTGGTCCCCGTTGTCTCAGGGCAGCAACGGGAACGGAAACGGAAACGGGAATGAAGATGGTAAAAGTGAGAGCAATTCTCCGAGTGAAGACCATGTGGTGGCGGCGGCGGCGGCAGAAGATCCTCCTCGTCGCAGATTCAAATACGTGCCGGTTAGTTTGTTGATTTTTTTTTGGTTCAGTGTAATGTAGAATGTCTTGCTGCATTGAATTGAGCTATGCAAGGAGCTCCATTGCTTATACGACTGCAACAATGATTAAGGGTTTAATTAGTCGTATTAATATTGAACAAAGGGACAGTTTTGAGCATTAGATTATTTCGTTGAAGGGTCTAATTGGACTAGCCTATTTCCATTTCTAATTCTTTGGATGAACAGATGATTAGGTGTTACTACTTACTACTAAGGTGCTAACATATCGTTTTTCCTGGAATTTTGAGGTTTAGCAAGAAATTTTGATGACCCTTGGCTTAATAATCTGTTGTTGCTGTTTGCAGTATGCTTGAATCGTTTTGGAATCCATAAACTTTATGTATCCAACATTGTCTTGATTATAGTGATCCATTTGAAGTTAAGTGTGATTTAATGCTGCAGATCGCAGTACTTGAGGAGCAGAATAAGGAAATTACAGAAATTGAGGAAGATGACAAGGTTGAGGAAGATGACACGGATGAGGTAGATGACAAGGTTGAAGTAGATGACCAGATTGAGGTAGAGGACAAGGTTGAGGTGGATGAAAAGGTTGAGGAAGATGACATGGTTGAGGAGGTCGAGAAGGTCGAGAAGGTCGCAGAGGAAGACGACATGGTAGAGGAGGTTGAGAAGGTCGCAGAGGATGAAAAGGTTGAGGAGGACAAAAGTGCAGCAGAGTCGAGCGAAAAGAAAACGGAAGTGGAGGAAAAGCCTGACATAAATGATGTTCCAATGGAAGATAATCAGGTAAGACTTTTCATGTGACTACTACTAAGAAGCTTTGGATTCGTTCTCTCGCTTGTTAATGTGGTGGAATCTATTTGTCTCCGCCCTGCAAATTTTAAATACCCGATAGTCCGTTTGAAGAAATTCATTTTAGAGTGCTCATGATCTTTTGCTATTGAACAAGACGATATTACTCAAATTAGATATTGAACCTCTCGTCTGTTTCTTAGCAGGAGGAAGAAAAAGTAGTGCGACAAGATCTGAACGAGAGCACTACGGATTTAGGATTGAACTTAAATGCAAAGGAGGCAGATCCTGAAAACAAAGTGGATGAGCCATTGGATGAGTCATAAACTTGGGAGCTTGGGTTTGGCTCCTCATCTTCAAGTGTCTCAGTGTCATTAGGAAGAAAGGCAATACAGAAAGAAGTAAAGCAGTAGTGGAGATGTCCAAATTGGTCAGTCAATGGACACATGTCCTTGATCTGGTCCGTACGTCCATGGCTTATTCCTTTTATTATTGTTGAGCAGACTTATTGATTCGGATATGAAACATTCAATCAATTCATTAGAGAATTCTCGTTTTTTCAACTGAATTTTAATATGAGTCATATCGTTCAAAAGATTTTGAATCCCTCTGTGGAGGTCCACGCTTATGATGTACTTTAAAAGCAGCATATGAATGGAGCTCTTAACCTCCTTGATCATTCAAGCAAATAACAAACATGAATATATCTGGGAATTCAAGAAAAATCAAATAGCTTGGGACTAGAATCTCAAACAGAAGCAAGATAATTTGCAGGTTTCCATTGAAGTCTCATCTTCACATTCTTCATCATAATCAGTCTTTTGCAACAACAGGCTCGGCTTCAGATGCAAAATCGTGCCTGTAGAGCAAAAAACAAGTAAATCACTTTGACAAGAGAGAAGAAAGCAAATATCATAAACAAAAAAAGTAACTTAGATGAATAAGATGCATGTTCATAAGTAGAAAGGAGTGCTCAGTAAAAATGGATTCCTTCTTCTTCCAGTAGCACTAATGACTAAACTAATGAAGTTATCATCTTACTTAATTTTACGAGCAAGCTGGTACGCCCCTGTCCCCATCATAGCAACATTAACGCTAAAGAGGTTCCAGTTTTTCTGTAATTAAAAAGTCCATGAACAGATAAACCTATTAAGAAATCCAATCAAGAATCATTACTACTAAATCAAGTGAACGGAGCAAAAAAAGACAAACTCACTGGAGTGATAACCATGCTGTAGCGAGACCAGATAACTCCAGTGCATGTAACCGCTAAGAGAGATATCAGAGAGAAAAACTGTTAAGAGCATTTTGAAGCATGACAAAGACGGTAGGAGAAAAAGTGCAATCTTGCGTCGTAGAAATGAAGATTAAGGATATTATAATACCTATCTGTTGAGGGTAGGAAAGATTCTCTGGAGGTTTTGCAAAGTCTGCAATGTTAGCAATGCTGATACCCCACTTGAACGTTGGCGCCCAGAAATGAACTGAGAAGAGGATACAAATGAGAGATGTTGTTTCTCAATTCACTATAATGATCCAACCAAGTTATATAAAAAAAACTTTGATCAAACTAAAAAAGACACTTGGTTGGTTTCAGTAAAGATATTGTGTTATGAGAATTCGGTAACAGAGACTTGAATCAAAGTCAAAGATTGTAAATTTTATATCACACATGAAAACCAAATGTAAAGCAAAGAGTGATTCTTATCTTTTGTACCATCAAAGTTCTTACATTTTCATAGATCATAGCATGATATCAATTCAATCCTCGAATTTAAAAATCGTTGTTGAGACAAATGTTATCATTTTCGAAAACTAAGCGAAAAGTCAAAATCAAACCAAATAAGTTTCTCAAGTAGAAACAAATCAGGATTCGCCGAGTGTGGAGCTAGAAAGATGAAACTAACAAAAGAACGAAATCCCAGATGTCTTAGATTGCTCAATTATCCAAATTCGATCATCAATTCTCAGAAAATCAAAATAAGAAATTAAAAAAAAAATCGAAATTGATTGAGAACAAAAAAAATGAAAGCTAAATCATCTTCGAAAAGAGTGAGGAATTGACTGACTGGTTTTAGGTCCGGCAGGGTGATTCCAGAGAGCTTGAAGCTTCGAAGTCGCCATCGATATTCCCTTTTCCCAGAGATGCTCAAGCTCCACCAACCGATCGTCGTCGCTTTCTTCTCTCACCCGAGATTCTCTTTTCCTCCGGTCTCTCTCTCTCTCTCTCTCGAGCTAAAAATAACACCAAAGGGCTGCTACTAGAAACGCTGTCGTTTAACACCAAGCGTGCACTCGAGGTTATTTTAGTCATTTTGTCTTCTTGTCTCTCTCAGTGGACTTTTTTGATATTGAAATTTGAAGTCGTCCCAGAGACTTTTCACTTTTCAGACATACCATAGAAAATGCGAACGGAAGGAAGAAGATCGTTCTTCTCTCACGATCACTCTATTGAGCACTGCTTTCTTCTTAATCTTTCTCCCAATTCGAATCTTTACTTATCAGATTTTCTTCTTCGCGGAACCCAAACGCCATGGCTCGAACCTTCATCTTGTGGCTTCACGGGTTAGGCGACTCTGGACCTGCAAATGAACACATCAAGATGGTTTTCAAATCCCCTGAGCTAAGTAACACTAGGTGGCTCTTCCCTTCTGCTCCACCCAATCCAGTTACCTGCAACAGTACGATTTTTCCTATTGTTTCTGTTTCTTAATTTTGATATTGATTTGTAACCATGCTGGTGTTTTATTGGGGTTGTGGTTTATTTTTTGTTTTATTGATATATTGCCTTGAGGGAAATTGAGTCTTCATAGCCCATTTTGGATTTAGCATGACTTTTGCCCTCTTTATTTCTACACACATAATTGACTTATTAAGATGTAAAGGTACACACTTTGATTATCTTCGATTTCTCTGTGGTAGATGTTTGGTACTGTCCAATAAAGATCCGTATGTGTCAGAAAGAATCTTAGATTTCTTCTTGTCCTCGTTCTTGTGCAGACGGTTGGGTGATGCCTTCTTGGTTTGACGTCCCTGAACTTCCTTTTAGAGCGGTAATATTACTTCTTTCTTCATCTAACGTCTCTTATAGATATGTTCCAAACTGGTAGCTCCAAAATTTCACCCTTTGGCTTGTTAATCAGCAGATTCAAGGTTTATAATGTATGAAGAACAGAGACAGCTCTTGCATTTTTCAGGAGCTCTGTTCAAGAGATTGTTATGCCATTACATGAAGTATTAAACTTTTCTTATGTGTTTAGGGCTCTCCAATTGATGAAAGCAGCGTGCTTCAAGCAGTCAAAAATGTGCATGCCATTATAGACCAAGAGATTTCACAAGGAACAAATCCAGAAAACGTGTTTATCTGTGGATTAAGCCAAGGAGGTGTTTTATCTGAATCCACTCATGTTTTTGAAAATCTTGCATTGAGGGCTCCTAATAAGATGTTCTTGCAGGTGCACTAACCTTGGCAAGTGTTCTTCTTTACCCAAAAACTCTTGGAGGAGGTGCAGTCCTTAGCGGATGGGTTCCATTCAGTTCTTCAGTCATCAGTCAGTTTCCTGAAGAAGCTAAGAAGGTGGTTTCCATCAATCATCTTTCTTAACATTTATTTACCGTTACTGTTTTTGTGTGTTTCTGAGTCTCTTCCGGATGTTGGCAAATGCAGACACCAATCTTGTGGTCTCATGGCACTGATGACAAGCTTGTGCTCTTTGAAGCTGGTCAAGCTGCTCTTCCTTTGCTTCAACTAGCTGGTGTTACTTGTGAATTCAAGGTAGAAAAATTATCAAATTCTTTTTTGATAATCTTTGAGACAGTGCTTAAGAGAACTGTACCAATATTCGTCTGAAGACGTTTGTTTAACTGCAGGCATATCCGGGTCTTGGACACTCGATTTGCAATAAGGAGCTACTGTATATAGAGTCATGGATCAAGCGGAGGTTGAAGAAGAGTCCGTCGTCGACTTGTCTTCATCTTAGTTGTCTTAAAAAAATCTTCCACTCAAGTTAATATTCGTTTCCTGCTACAATGCATCTGACAAGAAGTAGATTGATAACTTTTAGCTCATTGTCTGGTTCTGGTCTGATTTGGTCTCTGGAGTTTCTCTGTAAAACCGGTTTCGAATTTTGTTTGGTTATTGAATGGGTTTACTTGGTTGCCTTTATTAATGCACATGGTTTAAGCCCAACATTAAATTGAGGCCCACTTTTTATTTAAAACGGTTACTAAATCTCTTCTTCAGCAACTGTTCATATAAATTTTAGCGAAAGACTAATTTTCACGATCGATCTCATAATTTCAGTCTTCTTCTTTCCTTCTCTAATTTGGAGCGATCATCTCTTTTCACGATCGGCTCTTTTCCTGAAATTATTTAGGGTTTGTCAATTGCAAACCCAAACAATCATTGATTGTGTTTTTTTCTCTTCAGAATTCCGTTTTGATTTTGTATAAGAAAACCCCTAATCCTTTGCGTTTTCAAAATTTGAAGGTTTTCGATTTTAAACTTCGTTATTTCATATTAGGGTTTCTGCAAAAAAAAAACGCCATCTTTTGGGTTTGTTTCTTCTTCGTTTTGAGGGATTTTAATTTCGCGATCGACGTTTTTCTTTGAATTGAAACCTTTCCTTTCTAAAATTCATTGTTTCGATTCAATTTTTTTTACTCCGCAAAACCCAAAATCCCTCTTTTTCCGTGGTGTACATACAGATTAGGGTTTCTAATTTCAGTTTTCCCGATTTCTTCTGGATTAGAAACCCCAAATCACCGGGTTGTTTTTCTTAACAAGATTCTTTCTGTCTTTCGGTTTCGTTTGTTAAAAGCTTTGTCTTTTCTTAAAAACCCAAAAGAAAACGGATGACACATGATATATTGTGTATGTCCGTTTTCGAATTGGGGAAATCGTCCCGATGTCCCAAAGAAAATATTAAGGCTGTTGAAGAAAATATATAAATACTCTGCAAATTCGGTATCTAGTTTACATGATGATGATACAAGATTCAATCTATTTGAATCACTTTCTGGTATGGGAAAGTATGGGAAAATTCAAGTATCTAGTTTACATGATGATGATACAGATTCAATTTATTTGAATCACTTTCTGGTATGGGAAAGTATGGGAAAATTCAAAGTATCTAGTTTACATGATGATGATACTATGGGAAAATTTAAGTATCTAGTTTACATGATGATGATACAAAATTCAATTTTTTTGAATCATATTCTGGTATGGGAAAATTTAAGTATCTAGTTTACATGATGATGATACCTATGGGAAAATTCAAGTATCTAGTTTACATAATGATGATACAAAATTCAATTTATTTGAATCATATTCTGGTATGGGAAAATTTAAGTATCTAGTTTACATGATGATGATACAAGATTCGAAATATGCTGTTTGAGTGATGTCCAAAGGTTTTTGAATTTCAAGTTTCTGCATAAGTACTTTCTCGTTGGGCTGAGAAATATGACAAACTATTGAAACGTATATGTTTACTTGATGATGATACGTTTGGGAAATTTTAAGTATCTTTTTACTGATACAGGATTCAATATAGTACATGTTTACATGATGGTACAAGATTCAATATAGATGAATCATGTTCTGGTATGGGAAAAATTTGAGTATCTGTTTACATGATGATGATACAAGATTCAAAGTATTTGAATCATGTTCTGGTATGAGAAAATTCGGGTACCTGTTTACATGATGATGGTACTAAGATTCGAAACATGTTGTTTCAGTGATGTCCCAATGTTCTTGAATTTCAAGTTTCTGCACAAGTACTTTCTTGTTGGGATGAGAAACATGACAAACTATTCAATCCTCTGCATAGTTATGTCTTTAAGGAGTGTCTATTGATATTCCAAATTGGGAGACAACTCGCTGGTGGTGGAACATGATGAGAAATTGTTTCAAGTATCTGTTTACATGATGATGATACAACATTCGATAACTTTGTATCATGTTCTGGTATGGGAAAATCCAAGTATATGTTTACATGATGATGAGAAACATGGCAAACTATTCAATCTTTTGCATAGTTATGTCTTTAAGCATTCTCTATTGGTATTCCAGATTGGGAGACAATTCAGTTCAATTATCTGCTTAAACTGTTGAATGAAACACAATGTTCTGCATAGAGGTGGGAAAAATCAATACGCATGTGATGTCTCAGGCTTGTCGTAACTTGTCATAATAGTGACAAGTCTAGTCTTTTGCTCTGTATATCTTGATGGCATGCGACGTCATGATCGATATTCAGTAAGACTTGTCTTAAGGAAAATTCATGTATCTGTGGAATCTCTTATGTCTTGATGTGCCAAGAAAACATGATAGATTTAAGAGATATCATAAGAATGGGAAATTCATGTTTTCTATCATGTCTTAAGTTTACATGATGATGATACAAGACTCAATATATCATGTTCGAGTATTTGTTTACATGATGATACAAGATTCATTGAATCATATTCTGGTAGGAAGATTCGATTATATGTTTACATGATGATGATGATGATGATGATGATGATGATGATGCAAGATTCAATATATTTGAATCATGTTCTCATATGGGAAAATTCAAGTATCAGTTTACATGATGATGATACAAAGATTCAAATTATGCTGTTTCAGTGATGTTGGAATTTCAAGTTTCTGCATAAAGCAATATCTTGTTGGGCTGAGAAACATGACAAACAATTCAAGCTTCTGCCGAGCTGCTTAAACTCTATTTTATGGTGGTGGTGGAACATCATGATAAATCTTGACGAGGAGGTATGTTACTTACATCAATGACAGTTATGAAAGGGATCTGAGATATTTGAGCTCAACTGAATAAGATTCAGGAGGATGAGGAAAGGTAACGAGCAAATAAACAGTGCACAAGAAAGATAAAGCTAAAACTCGTAATGAATCTCGAAGGATCTGAGACAGAACAAAAAGCCAAAGAGAAACTATTGATGGCGATGAGATTGTGATTTTAAGTCTAAACTATTCAAGTAGTCTGCATTGGGAGAATTCGAATATCAGTTTACATGATGATGATACAAGATTCGAAATATTCTGTTTCAGTGATGTCCCAAGGGAATGGGAAATTATGTTTGAGTCATTGTTCCAAGATATGTTTACATGATGAAAGGAAAGGGATCTCTGAGATATCCGAGCTCAGCTGGATCAATTCAGGAGGGTTTGAGTAATACTAATGAGGAAAAATGACAGTGCTCAAGGAAGAGAAAGCTTAAACTTGTAATGAATCTCAAAGGATCTGAGAAACGGAACAAAAAGCCAAAGAGATGTTAAGTCTCAAAAGCCAAGAAATCTGTAGACCAAACAAAGATTAAAGAGCTATCAAATCTAAATAAAAGCTTGCTCAGGCTTCATTCATCTCTTTAAAGAGGAGTTGTTTGTTTCGGAAACAGACATTTTGGTTGATAAAGATGAGAAGCTCAAGGCCAGAGCTGCCTCATTGGTTAAACTTCAATTGTCTGCTCAAAGTATAATGAGGATTCATTGTTCTGCTTAACTCTTTGCCTTGTTGGGTTTGAGGCAACAGATGTTCAATTTCCTGCAGTAGAGGAAAATATGAAATTCAATATTCTGCATCTTAATGGAGAAAATTGTTCTTTGAAAAGCTTCTTAACGAGAAATTCATGTTTCTGCAGTGAGATCCCACAAGAATTGGGAATTCAAATCTTCTGCTGAAAATTAGTGGGACAACATGATGTATATGTGTTGGATGATTTCTCTAGACTCTCTTACTGTGTCTGAACAGTATGAAGAGAGTATTCAAGCCTCTGCATAATTCAAGAACCTGAATCTATTTCACAATTCTCAGTCACGTTTGGGGAAGGGATTTGAGCTACAGGCTCAACTGATTCAGTTTCAAAAGGATTTGAGGAAAGCTAACGAGCAAAGAGAGGTTAAGATGAATCTCTTTGATGAGAAAACTCAGAGAGGCGTAAGTTGAGCCTGAGAACAGGCGGGAATCACAAAAAGGAAATCTCTTGGAAGAAATAATAAAGAGTCTATTAGACATATTAGCTTCTCTCTCTACCAGAGAAGAGCTCCATAAGATTAAACGAGAACTGGCTATGAGCTTAAGTCATACTGAGGAAGATTGCGCAAATTCAGGCTGATAATATTCAGGCCTCTGCATAATTCAAGTCACTGGTTGGCTCAGAGGAACAAAAGGAAGCTATTGAAGGCGATGAGGTTGTGGCTAAAGTCTCAACTAAAAAAATCTTAAATTGAGAGGTTGAGAGATGGAAACTTGAGAAAGTTAGCAAATTCTCGAGAATACGCTCAAGGATCAAGAAGAGTGCATTGAACATCTCTACGTCGGATCTCAAAGCTGTTAAAATGGTTGAATCCTCGCTCATAGCTAAGGTTGAGAGGGGAAGGAGGTTGATAAACAGTTTCAAGAATCAAATAAGTTGAAGACATGCGCTTCAGAATCTTAAGATTCAGTTTGAAGCAGTTGGAGGAAAAAAAGGTATGCGCTTCATGAGGTTGACAAGTGAAATCTGAAAGCATGAAACTTAAAGAAAGCTTGTTTGAAGAAGGAAGACGAGCTAAAGAAGTCTGCTGCAGAAAACAGAAAACTCACAGAAATGGTTGTCTGAAGAAAACATAAATGAGTTGTCAAAGGTGAATAACAGTTTGGTGGATAAAGAAACAAAACTGAAGAGAATATTTCAAGAAGCAGAGGAGCTCAGAGGGAGGGAGATTGATTATCTCAAGAAGATAGAAGAGTTGTCAGCGGTAAACGAGAGCTTGGTCGACAAAGAAACCAAACTGTTGATCATTTGCTCAAGAATATTCAGAAATTAGAAGAAAGGATCTTGCTTGTCTGAGGAAGATTGAAGAGTTGCCAGAAGTGAATGAGAGACTGGTTGAAAAAAAAAAACCAAATTTCAGAGCTTGAGGAGTTCTCAAACTGCAGAGCGTTGCCGATGAAAATGAAGAGTTAAAAGAAAGGGAACTGAAATCTCTGCTGATAGAGAAACAAAACTCCACAACTCTACTACAGAAAATGAAGATCTTAGAGAAAGGGAGGCCAAGCCAAGAACTCTAAATAAAAGCCAAGGACGATAGAGAACTTGTCCAAGATGAAACTTGACAAAGAAACCGAGTTGCAGACTGAAGATCATCAAAGCTGCTAGAAAAAGCTTCTTTCCACACACACACAAGAGAAACTAGATGAAAATACTTTGACGTGGAAACAAATTAAAAAACAAAACGAGAATAACCTTTTTATTACATCGGCTGTCTATATTATGATTAAGATTTCTTACTTGTGTAATCTCTTTTTGATTTTGCTTCGCAGAGTTTTCTTCAAAGGCTTTGCTTCCAGATAGATAGGTGTGGACATCTTTCTTGAGCAACAGTGACCTGCTTCAGCTTCGGTAAGATCACAGGTAAAAGCTTGTGAGTGGTTTTATCTCACTTTTACCGCCATCTCTAGGCCTAATATATAACTAACTTCTCAGTGCATCTGTAGAAATGTCATGACAGATTCAGTTACTTTGTACTTGAAGATGGATCACGGTTTTCTCAGCTCTGCAGAAGGATGATTTTGTGGTCTCTCCTTCAAAATATGCTATCTTAGCCTGCAGGGGACGAAGAAACAGAGGATACAATGGCGCAGAAAAGTGACGAGAAAGGAGATGAGATGGATCAGAGTAGTGATCATACTGAGGGATCTCGAAGATGGTTGAGATAATAGGCACAAGCCGAAAGAATCAAATGCAGAGGAAACAAGGAAAACAAGAAACCGTGAATGGCAAGAAAGTAACTTGCTACAGAGTTGAGAGAGAGTTGTAAGAAGGAAAAAAAAGAGAAATCGTGCTTCTATCAGGTAGTATCTCTAGTAAACTCTCTCTCAACTCTGTAGCACGAGTTGTAAAAGAGAAAAGCAAGAAAGCTTTGGAAAGTTTAACTTTGCATTTGCAGGAAGTATATCTATGGAAAAGCTAAGGAGAAGCTTTTGACACGTCAAGCGGAGCTTGATCATTGTGGAAACCAAGTTTGGAATTGGCTACGAAAAAGACAAATCAGAGAAGCATGTAAAGATGCTTGAAGATGCAAGAAACAAATCACGCAGCAAACAAAACAAAAAAAAAAAAAGTCAATACTAAAAACGTATCTTAAAGAAACTGAGAAGGAGAATAGGGATATACAGGAATACAGAGCTGTGAGACTCAAGAAGAAGAACTGAGTTTCTGGATTCGGTGAAATCGATTTTTTTCTCGGATTCATTGAAAGAGGAATGTTATCGTGGAAAAATCAGTATTTATCCACTGGTTGCCTACGTTTTGGAGTCGAGACTTTTTAAGATTCAGGAAGAGAATTTCAAAAGTGTGGATCTTGAACAGGGGAAATTTGATAGAAGAAGAAGAAGAAGAAGAAATGTAAAGGGTTGGACTATTAAGGATTGATAAAGAAAACGAATTGCAAGTACAATTAATCAAGTAAATTACGAACTTAAGGTGCAGGAAGCTTCAGCGGCAAAGAATATAGAGAGTATACATGACAATTGACAAAGAAACCGAGTTGCAGACAAAACAAATTCAGTCTTCTGCTTAAAAAGAGTGGTCTTTGAAAAATGCATGTCGATTTATGTCCCAGAAAATGGGAAATTCATGTTTCTGCAGAAACTAAGAAAACATGATATATTATTGTTCATCAATAACAAAGGTTTTTCTAAAGAGATCATCTCATTTTCGCAGTCCTTTCACTTCAAAGCCAAGGAATCTCTAGCCCAAAAGAAGATTTGTAAGCTTGCTCCTGAAGAAAGAGAGGGAGTCATTACAGGATATTGTTTGCGAAAATGAGAAGCTCAAATCCAAAGAGGCTTCATCTCTTAACACAATAACAAAGCTTGGTTGTTATAGAGAATGAATGAGCTTAAAATGGGGTAAGATCTAGTCAAGTGCCTGTACTTTGGTTTTTAAAATGATGTAAGAGTTTGTGATGGTTAGTTTACAACTTGGATTGATGTTATGCGATAAGACTTCTTATGTATGTTCATTTGGGTTTAATGTAATGCGAGAATGTTTTATGCAAAAAGAGATTCATACAAAATGATGTGAAACAATAGACTACAACATAAATTTTGAGTTATAATATTAATTATTATCACATATACAAAAATGCTACGAAACAATTGATAATAGCATGAACCAAAAGCTATAAAGGAATTTAATAAAGCAATGATAAAAAGCTACAAAATAATGTATTATAGCATCTAAAATGTGATATAACAACAAATATTAAAGCAGTTTAGTAACGCTATTAGAGAATGACATTTGTAATAGCATGTTCGAAAAAACGCTATTATAGGAGGTGTTCTATTATAGCTGCGGCAGACATAGCGTTTATGAAAACGCTATTAAACACGTATGATAGCATTTATCTTGAGCTAGGAATGTGCATTTTTCTTGTAGTGAATGCAAATTGTCGAGAAGAAATGAGAAGATTTGACAAACCTTAAAACAGAGTTAACTTGATAAAGAGAGTCTAACATAAGAGTAACACCAATTTCAAGGACTATACCAACTTCTAGCGAACCATATAAGAACACAAGGATGGCTTAAAGTGAGAGACTGAAGATGATGACAACACGATTGCTTGTTCCATTTTTTCCAAAGATCCTTTCACATTCTTGGGAGTCGTCTTCCTCATCTCTCTGTTTCGAAATCAGAGCTTGATCCATTCTTTTGACACGGCAAGTTTACCAGACCTTAAGGAAGTATTTTCTACTTGTTGGTGGTGGACCAACAGGTGTTGAATTTGCTACTCAACTGCATGATTTTGTTAACGAGGATCTAGTCAAACTCTATCCTAAAGCCAAGAATTTAGTACAAATAACTCTTCTAGATGCTGCAGACAACATCTTGACCATGTGACATTTCTTCACCTCAAATTTTTTTGATCAAAGTTGAAAATTTACTTTCTTGCAATGGAAGCTAATGTTATTCACAGTTTTGACAAGAGGATAACGGAGTTTTATGGAATTTACTTTCTTGCAATAATATATTCGACAACAACCATTCGTCCACAACCAAATTTTCCTTTCAAGTATCAAAAACTGCTAAAAGGTATAATTCGATCAACCAATAGTGAAAGAGGATAAAGAAGATTAAAAAAAAAAAAAAAAAAAAAAAAGAACAATGTGGTCAATGCAAAATATCACAAATAGAGTTGATATCCAAAATATAAAGTCTCAAAGTAATAATAATATACGAATGCCATTAACACACTTAGTTATATAAACTTAATATTCTCCACATAGTCTAAAACGGTGCGAATATTACGATGCAAAAACTCTTCAAATCCCTGAATATTGACGCTTGTGAAGGTTTTGCTCTCAAGATTGTACAAGTAAACGCAGAAAAGGTCTGATCGTTTGTTTCTGAGCGACGAGAACACGATGTCACCAGTGCCAGTCATTCCAACAAAACGTTTCGTGCTTCTTAAATGAGGCAATACACATGTCTGCTTGGACCATTCATGACTTCCAGCATCTTCTAGAACCCACAAAACAAGTTTTGTACTCCAATAAGCTGTTCCCTCACGTAAACCTAATTTACCTTTGTAGTTGAACAAAGCCAAACAACCACCATAAGCATTATCCTCTGCTAACATGTCTTTATCTAAGTTGATAAAGCTGAACTTCTCAGACCTAACGTCGAAGCAAACTATCACACGAGACTGTCCCAACTTAGCTGACTGTCCCAACTTAGCTCCGAAATACAAAACACCATTCATGCATACTTTACCAAACATTCTATAACTCTCAGTAAAAGGGAACTTCGATCCAAAGAATTATGGTAATAATTTAACATTGAGGGTACTTTAGTCATTTAGGCGTCATCTCCTTCCTTTCTCAAAAGCCTCTAAAAAAAAAAAAAAAAAAAAAAACACAGCTTTGAGAGATCTTTCAATTAAAATGGTGAAGGCAGCAGAATCGATATTGAGATGCGAACAAATCCACTGAGAAAACCGATCGTTCTTCTCACGGTCGCTCTATTAACCACTGTCGTCTTCTTCGTATTCTTCTCCCAAAACAAACCTTACTCATCATCATCATCTACCTCTGCTTCGCGGAGCTCAGACTCCATGGCTCCAACCTTCATCTTGTGGCTTCACGGGCTCGGCGATTCCGGACCTGCGAACGAACCCATCAAGACGGTTTTCAAGTCCCCGGAGTTTAGGAACACTAAATGGCTCTTCCCTTCTGCTCCCCCAAATCCAGTCTCCTGCAATTGTAAGATTCGATCTTTACTTTCTGATTTTGGAGGTGTTTTTTGTTGTGGATTTCGTTCCATGGTTATTGATTTGATTGGGCTCAATAATTTTGGTTTATTGCGTGTGAGTGAAAATCAGCATTTTCTGAAACCTGATTTCGAATTCATAGGTCTCTTCCTCATTCTGGAGAAGTTAGTTGTGCGATTTTACTTTGTCTTAGCGTTTGGATTTAGCTTGACTTTGCCTCTCATGTGTGATTCTGTTACTTATTATACTTGAGTTATTATTAAGTAAAGAAGAAGAATCAATTTAGGTTCTTGCTAAATGATTGTGTCATCTCCTCTTGTGGCAGATGGTATGGTGATGCCTTCTTGGTTTGACATCCGTGAGCTTCCTCTTACCGCGGTAACACTTGTCTCTTTATCTAACACTTGACAATGCTTCTAAATTGGTAGCTTTCTAGTATTGTCCAAGCATATCACTTGCTTAGTAGATTTAAGAGTTAAAGAAGAGACCTTTTCTTGCATTGTTAGGATTGTTTTCTTTTTGTGTGTCATCAAGTATGTTTAGATTTTTATGTGTTAGGGATCTCCGAATGATGAGAGCAGCGTGCTTAAAGCAGTAAAGAACGTTCATGCCATTATCGATAAGGAGATTGCAGGTGGAATAAGTCCAGAGAATGTGTATATCTGTGGATTTAGCCAAGGAGGTGATCTCTCTTTTGTCTAGTATGTGGTGATGTTCTTGCATTGCGACGCCTGAGTAAGATGTTCTTGCAGGTGCATTAGCATTGGCAAGTGTTCTTCTTTACCCGAAAGCTCTTGGAGGAGGTGCAGTGTTTAGCGGATGGGTTCCATTCAGTTCTTCAACCATCAATCAGTTTACTGAAGATGCTAAAAAGGTTTTCATCTGTTTTCTTTCTTTGGTTTTCTTGTGGAAATGTTGGAATTTTCTCGTCACTGTTTTTTTTTTGGGTTTCTGAGTCTCTTCCGGGTTTTGAAAATGCAGACACCAATCTTGTGGTCTCATGGCATTGATGACAAGACTGTACTATTCGAAGCTGGTCAAGCAGCTCTTCCTTTTCTTCAACAAGCTGGTGTGACTTGTGAATTCAAGGTATTCTAATAATTAACAAATCAAATCGAACATGAGTGGTTGATCGTGTGACAGACCAGTCATGTGGAAAGATCTCTTAAACCAATTCTTGAGAATATAAATCTGAAGAGATGCGTTTCATATATTTGCCAGGCTTATCCGGATCTTGGACACTCGATCAGTAATAAGGAGCTGAAGTATCTGGAGTCATGGATCAAGCAACGGATGCAGAGTTCTTCATCTTCTTCTTGAATGCTTTCAAAAACCCATATTTCACTCTAGTTAACATCATCTTTCTTGTTACCTATCAACATTAGTGAGACAGAGTAGACAAGAGAGAAAAAAAAAACAGAACAATGTGTTCAATATTATGTGATGACAGCAAAAACAAGATGTATTATAAAGTTGATGAAACCCAAATAACATTACCAGCGAGCAATATGATAAAGAGTTGACATCCAAAATACAAAGTCTAGAGTAAATAAAATATGAAAGCATTGAACAAACACTTTAGACAAACTTCAGATTCTCCACAGAGTCTAGAAATGTGTGAATAGTACGACGCTTAAACTCTTCAAATCCCTGAATATTGACTCTTGTAAAAGTTTCCCTCTCGAGATTGTACAAGTCAAGGAAGAAAGGCTTTGGGTCGTTCTTGTACGACGACCAGACGGTTTCACCTGCAGCAGTCATTCCAACAAACCACGGGTTATCTCTGATCAAACTAGGCAACTCGTAGGTATGCTTGGACCATTTATGATTTCCAGCATCTTCTACAACCCACAACACAAATTTATGTGTATCACTAAATCCTGATCTATTCCGCAGACCTAATTTGCCTTTGTAGTTGAACAAAGCCAGATGACCAGTAAAACAATAACCAAAATCTCCTAACATGTCTTCATCTATCTTAATAAAGTCAAACTTCTCAGACCCAACGTCGAAACAAACTATCACAGGAGATTTTCTCATCTTAGCTCTGAAATACAAAACACCATTTATGCATATTTCATCATACAATATACTAATGTCTCTAAAACGGAACTTGCATTCGATCCTTCTCCACGAACGTTTTCCAGACTCCAATGTCAAAACCTGGTGGTGAGTAGTGGGTCTTTTACGAGGTGACGAGGTCATACACAACACTTTAAATTGTTTGCTGATTGGATCATAGCAAAGACTGATTCTTGCAATCTCATCTTTTACTTTTGTGGCGGGGTTACTCTTAGTTTTCACTTTGGGTAAGGTTAGGAACTCTCCCGTGATAGGGTTACAAATCATTCGCACCTTTCTTTCAAGACCTCCCTGAAGAAGGACCAATCCACATACTGAACTACAGAATGAATATGGAAAATATTCGGGAAAAGACGTATGATAACGTGTTGCTACAAGTGTAGAGTTGTCATCTGGATTTTGAGGCTGAGGTAAAGAGTAGAAGAACAACTTGCCATCAGCTATCACAGTGAAAAAGAGTCTTGGACAAGTGGAAGACCTAGTCAGAAACAACTCGGTGAAGTCAGGACGACGAAGTATGTATCCCCAGAATTTCGATACACAACGAAACCTATCTATAGACTTTCTAGGGAGTCTAGAGAATATATCGATGAGTAGATCAACTGGTATAGGATTTGAGTGTTCTCTTTCCGAGCTGGGAAACTGTCTTTCGTTTCCGAAAGTGATTGATAGATTCTCCGAGAACTGCTCCTCCAGATTTTTCATGGTGAATTGAGAATTGTACAAACCCTAGAATTGCTTTCAGAGCCTTAAGACGAACGTAACCCCCTAGACTTGAATTTCCTTCTTTCCTTGATTCCGACTAACTTGCTCTATAAGTAAGAATCCTTAATGGGCCCTAGACATACTTAAAGTGGTGGGTAATTTACTTTATTACATGCTTATCCAAAACATGTGCGTGTCTAAAATTCTTCTTTCACATTGACATTTACTTATCCACCGTGGCTTCGTCCGGTCACCGGAGGCCATCAGCCGGCTCCGATTGCACAGGATATGCTGTTTCCGAAAGAAGACATGTAAGAGTAAATCGTCTTCCTCTTGGAATCGTTTGGTTCCTTGTAAGCCAAGCAACTCTTCCTTTGCAGAGTTATTTATCTTCTTCTTCAATGCTTTTAAAAGACCAACATTGCACTCTAGTTAATATCTTTTTTTTACCTATCAACATTTGAAGAACGATAATAACTTCAGTTCATGCTCTGGTTGTGTCTTGTGAACACCGGATTCAGTTTAAACTGTATAGTTTGGTTGTATACTAGTTTTTGTTACACAATCCAAAGCTGATACAGAATTCGAGGGGAGAGAGAGAGAGAGAGAGAGTGCAGAGCAGACAAAAACAGAACAACGTGTTCAATTCTATAACAATTTTGTTTGCTTTGTAAAAGATAGAGATACATTAACTTAATTTAAACTTTCCCGTTTTTTTTTTTCTCCACTTCTGTTTTGCAGAGAAGAAATCAATAGTGAACACAATTTCCTTGAAAAAAACACGAGCAATACAAATGCGGTTTAATCAAGCGCATGTAGGATGTTATCTCTTGCGTGGAACTTGGTTAAGTGGGTTTGGTTTTTATTTGAAACCATTGAATTCTTAATTACATCAACTTCATAGTCTCCAGTCGCCACATAGTCTAGAAAGGTGCGAATACTAGAATACTTAAAATCTTCAGTTTCCTGAATATTGACCCGGAAAAGCTTTGATTGGTCATTTATGTTAAAACCAAAATATAAGAGGAACAATATCATAATTATAGTTGAAATCCAAAATATAAAGTCTCAAGTAAATAATATATGAAAGCCTTGAACACGCTTAACTTAACTACGTAAACTTCAGATTCTCCACGTAGTAAAAGTACTACGATTGTTAGACCCTTCAAATCCCTGAATATTGACTCTTGCAACGGTTTTCCTCTCGAGATTGTAGAAGTAAAGACAGTCAATCTTTACTCCGAAGAAGCGCGGGAACGGGTAGAACACGATGTCACCAGTACCAGTCATTCCAACAAAACGTTGATCTCTGATTGAAGTAGGCAATTCGTAAGTCAGCTTGGACCATTTGTGATTTGCAGCATCTTCTAGCACCCACAACACAAGTTCATCTTTTGTTTTTGTACCCCGATAAACTGTTACCTCACATAAACCTAATTTACCTTTGTAGTTGAACAAAGCCAAACGAGCATCGTAATAATCATCATCATCCTCTCCAGGCTCTCCGTTCACGTCTTTATCTAAGTTAATAAAGCCGAACTTCTCAGACCCAACGTCGAAACAAACCATCACAGCAGATTGTCCCAACTTAGCCCTGGAATACAAAACACCATTTATGCATATATCACCGGGCATTCTATAAGTCTCTTTAAAATGAAACTGGCATTCGATCATTCTCCACAAAGGTTTTCCAGACTCCAATGTCAAAACATGATGAGTATTGGGTCTCACACACAATACTTTGAACTGTTTGCTGATGGGATCATAGCCAAGACAAATTGCTGAACCCGTAGCTTTCGCTTTCTTGAAACCCTTGGCTTTCGCTTTCTTGAAACCCTTGGCTTTCGCTTTCTTGAAAGCCTTAGCTTTCAATTGGGCTAAGGTTTTGTCTTTTCGAAGCCCCGTGGGTAAGGTTAGGAACTCTCCCGTCATGGGGTTACAAATCACCTTCACTTTTTTTTTTCTAAAATCGTTAAGGAGGGCCAATCCACAGACCGTAGGACTGTAAGCAGATAGAAATTTATGGGGAAAAGACGTATGATAAGGTGTGGGCACAAGAGTAGAGTTATCATCTGGATTTTGAGGCTGAGGTGAAGAATAGAATAATAACTTGCCATCAGATGCTACGGTGAAAAGGATCCGTGGACGAGTGGATGACTTGGTGAGAAACAGCTCTCTGAAATCAGGACGACCAAGTATGTACCCCAAGGATTTCGATACGCAACGAAACCTATCTATAGACTTTCTAGGGAGTCGAGAGAATATTTCGATAAGTAGATCATCTGGTATATGATCTGAGTAGAGCTGCTGCTTCAAACGTTTCATGGCGTGTTTTACAAACCCTAGATCAGAGCTTTAGACTTTGTTTCTCTTCTACTCATGACTTTTTCAACACAGCTGACTTTATATGCAAAAATTCTAAATGGGCTTTATTAGGCCCAAGACATACTGCGTGATGTTAGTTTTAAATTCTCCAAACAACTTTATAAAACTCGTTTAATCCTAAAGCTTCTACTAAAAAAGCTCAATTTTTTTTTTGCCACGAGGTATCAAAACTTGGCCGGAGTTTTGAACTTTTACTAATGATGATTGTGTGATGTGTTTCAAACCTAATTATTTGTTTGCACTAGCGATTGGTTCTTCCGTGCATTCATGTGATATTAAGTTTAAGAAAAAAAATTGTTTTGGTTAAATTTAGGAATTTTATGGTTTACTTTTCCCCTAATTTTATGTCTTGGGTTTCATCAGATATGGTGAGACTGTTGGAGAAGTACGAATAGTTGCAGACATGCACATGCATGAGCGAAAGGCTGCATTGATGGCACAAGAAGCTGAAGCCTTCATTAACGTCTTTATTTTAGCAGTTTTTTAACATTTAAAGTTTTGTTTCAGGAGGTTGTGGAACAATGGAGAAACTGCTTGAGATGATAACATGGTCGCAACTTCATGAATATTGACTCTTGTAAAGGTTTTCCTCCCAAGCAGTTGCCGTGACTGAAAAGAAACCGAGAAATTACAGTGAAACATAACCTATGGAAGCTCATTCTACTTCTTTGTTCATCAACTTCAAGTTCATAGACCTAAGGTGACGTACCATTCGTTGTCTTTTCTCTAACTGTTGTATTCACCATTCTCCAGATGCCGTTGATCTGGTCTGAGCCTAGAGTCCGTGGGAGGAAGACACTGCAGGATCGCTGACACCATCGCCAACAACATAGTGAAGGCTATCATCCCATTTACCAGAATTTAGAGGTCTCGTCCTCATTCTGGAAAAGTTAGTTATGTGATTAGCGTTTGGATTTAGCGTGATTCTTCTCTGATGTGTGATTTGTGAAGGAGATTGCCACTTATGTTTCTTATACTTGAGTTATTAAGTACAGATACTATACCTACAGTAAATAAGATCCTTGTGCCTTGTGTGTATTAAGAAGAACCAGTTTAGGCCCTTGCTAATGATTGTGTCTTCTCCTCTTGTGCCACATGGTATGGTGATGCTCCATGAGCTTCCTCTTATCCGGATCTTGGACACTCAATCAGTAATAAGGAGCTGAAGTATCTGGAGTCATGGATCAAACAGCGGATGCAGAGTTCTTCATTTCTTCTTAAATGCTTTCAAAACCCAACTTTTCACTCTAGTTAACATCTTTCTTGTGACTTGTTAAAACCGGTTTCAGTTTATATAATAAAGAGTTGAAATCCAAAATATAAAGTCTACAGGAAATAAAATATGAAAGCATTGAAGAAACACTTAGATAAACCTCAGATTCTCCACATAGTCTAAAAGTATATGAATAGTACGACGCTTAAACTCTTCAAATCCCTGAATATCGACTCTTGTACAAGTTTTCCTCTCGAGATTGTAGAAGTCAAGGAAGAAAGGCTTTGGGTCGTTCTTGTACGACGACCAGACGGTTTCACCTGTAACAGTCATTCCAACAAACTGTTTACTGCTGATTAAAGTAGGCAGTTCGTAGGTATGCTTGGACCATTTGTGATTTCCAGCATCTTCTACAACCCACAACACAATTTCATCTTCTATCTTCCAATAATCTGTTTCCTGACGTATACATAATTTACCTTTGTAGTTGAACAAAACCATACCACCAGAAAAATAATAACCAACTTCTCCTACTATGTCTTCTTCATCTATCTTAATAAAGTCAAACTTCTCAGACCCAACGTCGAAACAAACTACCACAGAAGATTGTCCCAACCAAGCTCTGAAATACAAAACACTATTTATGCATATTTCATCTGACATTCTTCTAATCCCTGTAAAATGGAATCCGCATTCGACCCTTCTCCACAAACGTTTTTCAGGCTCCAATGTCAAAACCTGATAAGTAGTGGGTCTGTCACAAGGTGACGAGGTCATACACAACAATTTGAATTGTTTGCTGATCGGATCATTTCCAAGACCGATTCTTGCCATTTCCTCTTTTGCTTCTGTGTCGAGGTTAACTTTCACTTCGGGTAAGGTTAGGAACTCTCCCGTGATAGGGTTACAAAACACCCGCCCCTGTTTTTTATAATAATTATGAAGAAGGGCCAATCCACAGACTGTAGAAAATTCATCAGATGGAAGATATTTGGGAAAAGACGTATGATAACGTGTGGCTACAAGAGTAGAGTTGTCATCTTGAGTTTGAGTTTGAGGCTGAGGTGAAGAGTAGAATAATAACTTGCCATCAGCTTCTACGATGAAAAGGATGCGTGGGCGAGTGGAAGAATTGGTCAGAAACAGCTCAGTGAAATCAGGACGACGGAGTATGTATCCCCAGAATTTCGATACGCAACGAAACCTATCTATGGACTTTCTAGGGAGTCGTGAGAGTATATCGATCAGTAGATCAATGGGGATTGGGCCAGGGTCTTTTCTTACCGACTTGGGAAACTCTGTTTCGTTTCTGAAGGTGATTGATAGATTCTCCTCCGGAAACGGCTGCTCTAAATGTTTCATGGCGGACAAAACCCTAGAACAGCTTCAGTGCTTTAAGACAAACGAAACCCTAGACTTGAGTTTCCTTCTTTCCTTGATTTCGACTGACTTACTTCATACGCAAGAATCCTAAATGGGCCCTAGACATACTTAAAGTGGTGGTGGGTAATGACTTTATTATATGCTTCTTTCACGTTTACACTTACTTATCCACCGTGGCTTCGTCCGGTCACCGGAGGTCATCAGCCGGCTCCGCCTCCCGGAAGCAACTCATCACGACCTTTCCGTTCATCAATACATTCAATTAAAGAAATCAAGCGTTTCCAGCTTATGAAGCTCTCTCTCTCACTGTTTCTATAAACTGTGTTAACTAAATTGCACAAGAAGACGACTTGTAAGAGTAAATCGTCTTCCTCTTGGATCGTTTGGTTTCTTCTAAGTCAAGCAGGTCTTTCTTATCTTCAACAAGCTGTTGTGACTTGTGAATTCAAGGTATTTTAATAATTAGCAAATCTAATCAGGCACACTCATGTTTTACATTCTAGTTAACGGAGCAGTCAAATCCAAATACTCAACACAATTTGCTTGAGAAAACACGAGCAATACAAATGCGGTTCAAATAAGCGCATGCAGGATGTTATCTCTAACAGACATGTCACAGTAATTTGGTATTATTGGTGCAACTGAGTTTGGTTTTTCATTTGAAACCATTGAACACACATAATTACATCAACTTCATAGTCTAGAAAGGTGCGAATACTAGAATACTTAAATTCTTTAAGTTTCCTGAATATTATATTGACTCTTGTAAAAGTTTTCCTCTCGAGATTGTACAACAAGTAAACGCATAAAAGCTTTGATTGGTCATTTATGTTGAAATCCAAATTATAAAGTCTCAAAGTAAATAAAATTTATATAAGCCTTGAACACGCTTAACTTAACTACGTAAACTTCAGATTCTCCACGTAGTCTAGAAAGATGTCAAAAGCTCTATAATTCTTAAACTCTTCAAATCCATTAAGATTGACTTTTGCAACGGTTTCGCTCTGGAGATTGTAGAAGTAAAGACAGAAATTATTTGGTCGGTAGAAGAACGGGAACGACAAGAATACGATGTCTCCTGTACGAGTCATTCCAACAAACTGTTCCCTTCTGAGAAAACGAGGCAATTCGTAAGTCAGCTTGGACCATTTGTGATTTGCAGCATCTTCTAGCACCCACAACACAAGTTCATCTTTTGTACTCCAATAATCTGTTCCCTCACGTAAACCTAATTTACCTTTGTAGTTGAACAAAGCCAAACGACCATCATCATAATCATCATCCTCCTCTCCTAACACGTCTTTATCTAAGTTAATAAAGCCGAACTTCTCTGACCTAACGTCGAAACAAACTACCACAGAAGTTTCTCCCAACTTAGCCCTGAAATACAAAACACCATTTATGCAGATGTTATCAAACATACTATTAAAATGAAACTCGCATTCGATCCTTCTCCACAAAGGTTTTCCAGACTCCAATGTCAAAACCTGATGAGTATTGGGTCCTTCACAACCTGACGAGATCACACACAATACTTTGAACTGTTTGCTGATCGGATCATAGCCAAGACAGATTCTTGGAACCGCAGCTTTCGCTTTCTTGAAACCCTTAGCTTTCACTTGGGTTAGGGTTTTGTCTTTTAGAAGCACCTTGGGTAAGGTTAGGAACTCCCCCGTGATAGGGTTACAAATCACGCTCACTTTTCCTTCTCTAACTTCGTAAAGGAGGGCCAATCCACCAACCGTAGAACATTCATCAGAATCAGATGGAACATATTTTGGAAAAGACGTATGATAACGTGTGGCTACAAGAGTAGAGTTATCATCTGGATTTTGAGGCTGAGGTGAAGAGTAGAATAATAACTTGCCTTTATCTTTTACGGTGAAAAGGATCCGTGGACGAGTGGACGACTTGGTCAGAAACAGCTCTGTGAAGTCAGGACGACGAACTACATATCCCCAGAATTTCGATACGCAACGAAACCTATCTATAGATTTTCTAGGGACTCGAGAGAATATATCGATTAGTATATCAACTGGTATAGGATCTGAGTAGAGCTGCTGCTTCAAACGTTTCATGGCGTGTTTTGTTTTACAAACCCCAGATCGATCAGAGCTTTATTATATAGCAAGAATATATCGTTACGCTTTGTTTATCTCCTAATGTTTATATATATACTAGAGGCCCGCGTATACGCAGGTTTATTATACAATTTTTTTTGAAATAATTATGAAATAATATTAAATAACATTTGACATTTCAAAAGTAAGTAGACTAATATTCAAAATCCGATAATAAATCTCTAAATAAAATTAGATTGGTAAACTTTTTACATTTTTATTATAATAGATATATTTTTCTGACTTCATGATAATATAAATAAGTTAATTTGTTATCTTTTTATTTGTATCTAAAATAGAAAGACTTACACATGATTGATTAATTTGTGAAACTTTTATTATTACAATGAAATCAATTTTTTAATATTATTTTACCTAAAATAAAATATTGAAAAATCAAACTATTAAAGTTAGAATATCAGTTCATTATAATTTTTTCTTTTTAATATCACTTAGTTGCTTGATAATTATTTTGTTAGTTTTCTATTTATATTGTTTCTTTTTCAGTTTTGTTTTTGCCTCAAACCATTATAAATTTTCTTTTCATTATTACTTAGTTGTTTTCCAATTACTTTGTTAGTTTTTTATTTATTTTATACATTTTTCTAATTTTCTTGTGTTAACACATGACTACACGTGATCAAATATCAAACATAAGTAGCAACAATAATTTTGATTCGGATCTAATTGATCTAGAGTTAAATATTCTTAATATCATGAATTTTTAAACACCTTATTTTTTTTATTTTTTAATGAGAAGTTTAAATAAAAGATAGAAACACACAGTTAAATCATGAAGGCTATAGCTCACTATATATTGGATTTTTTCCTTTTTGTATTAAGAATATGTTTTACTTTTCCTTTTCATAATGGATGTAATTTTTTAAAAAAAAAAATTTCCTGATTTTCGATTTTTTTTCCTTTTCTTAATGAGAATATATTTTTTATTTTTCCTTTTCTTATTTTTTGTTGTTCTTATACATGTTAACTTTTTCATGGCACATGTCACTATCTTAATATTTTTAGAATTATAAAAAACACATGATCCTATATGAGTTATAAAAATCTTATAGGATTTTATTTATCACATTATTTTTAATTTAATATGTGTTAATATAAATTTGATGAATGCGAAATCTTTTTCTATTAGGAATGACAAATATTAATTTTTCCTTTTTTATATGTGTTTGGATAATATAAATTTGATGAATGGGAAAACATTTTCTGTTAGTATATAACAAATATTAATTTTTCTTTTTTTTAATATTTTAGATTAAATTTCGTTTTTTTTTAAATTATCCTTTTTCTAGTTTTTTTTTAAAAATCTTTTTTCCCTTAATACACGTGTCACGATTTTAACGGTCATAATCTTAAAAGTGACACATGTTGCAATCCTATATTTTATAAAAATTCTACGTGTCGCAACCACATTGCGCGCGTATCCAGCTTTATATAATAAAATATATGTAAAATATTCTAAATAGGCTTTATTAGGCCCAAGAAAAACCTAAATATTATTATATTTTAGTTCTATGATTCTCCAAACAGCTTTATTATAACTCGTTTAATCCCAAAGCTTTGACTGCAATCAAGGTATGTATGTAATGTAGCTTCTACTAAAATCTCAATTTTATTTTGAACTTTAACTAATGATGAACGTGTCATGTGTTTCAAACCTATTTATTAATTTGTTTGCACCAGCGCTTGGTTCTTCCGTGCATTCATGTAATATTAAGTTTTAAGAAAAAAAAAATTTGTTTTGGTTTAGGAATTTTATGGTTTACTTTTCCCCCAATCTCTTATGTCTTGGGTTTCATCAGATATGGTGAGGCTGTTGGAGAAGTACGAAAGCTTGCAGACATGCACATGCATGAGCGAAAGGCTGCATTGATGGAACAAGAAGCTGAAGCCTTCATTAACGTCTTTATTCTTGCAAAATTTAGGAATGACATTAGGCGGTGGCTTGGTTCTTTTCCAAAGTAACGAGGCATTTGATGCAGGATCGCTGACTTTCGTCTTGCTGACTCCATCGCCAACAACATAGTGAAGGCTATCATCCCATTTACCAGAATTTAGAGGTCTCGTCCTCATTCTGGAAAAGTTAGTTATGTGATTTGAATTTGTCTTAGGCTCTTAGCGTTTGGATTTAGCGTGATTCTTCTCTGATGTGTGATTTGTGAAGGAGATTGCCACTTCTGTTACTTTTACTTGAGTTAAAAGTACAGTAAATAAGATCCTTATGTGTCTGAAGAAGCATCAATTTAAGTTCTTGCTAATGATTCTCCTCTTGTGGCAGATTGTATGGTGATGCTCCATGAGCTTCCTCTTACCGCGGTAACACTTGTCTCTTTATGTTCGATTTTCTCGTAAATGTTTCTTTGTGTTTCTTGAGTCTCTTCCGGGTTTTGCAAATGCAGACACCAATCTTGTGGTCTCATGGCATTGATGACAAGACTCCACTATTCGAAGCTGGTCAAGCAGCTCTTCCTTTTCTCCAACAAGCTAGTGTGAATTGTGAATTCAAGGTATTATCAATTTATAATAATAAGAAGAAAAAATCAAACACACTTATGTTTGATCATGTAGCAGATCATGTAACAGAGCATTCATATGGAAAGATGTTATGAACCAATTCGTGAGAATGTAAATCTGAATAGGTCGTTTAATTTGCCAGGCTTATCCTGATCTTGGAAACTCGATCAGTAATAGAGAGAGAGAGTGTGTGTAGAGCAGACAAAAACAGAACAACCTGTTCAGTTCTATAACAATTTGCTTGCTTTATAAAAGATGGAGGTACATTAATTTAACCATTCCCTTTTTTTTCTTTTTCCACTTCTGTTTGGTAGAGAAGAAATCAATAGTGAACATAATTTCCTTAAAAAAAAAACGAGCAATACAAATGCGGTTTAAACAAGCGCAGGATGTGAATACTATAATGCTTAAAATCTTCAGTTCCCTGATTATTGACTCTTGTGAAGGTTTTCCTCTCGAGATTGTAGAAGTAAAATCCAAAATATAAAGTAATTATACTTATATGAAAGCCTTGAACACGCTTAACTTAACTACTTAAACTGGAAATTTTCCACGTAGTCTAGAAAGATGTCAAAAAAACTACAAAAAATTAAATCTTCAAATCCCTGAATATTGACTCTTGCAACCGTTTTCCTCTGGAGATTGTAGAAGTAAAGACAGTCAATCTTTGATTGGAAGCACGGGAACGGCAGGAACAAGATGTCACCTGTACCAGTACTCATTCCAACAAATTGTTCACTTCTGAGAAAACGAGGCAATTCGTAAGTCAGCTTGGACCATTTGTGATTTGCAGCATCTTCTAGCACCCACAACACAAGTTCATGTTTTGTACTCCCATAAGCTGGTCCCTCACGTAAACCTAATTTACCTTTGTAGTTGAACAAAGCCAAACGACCATCATCTCGATCATAACCATCATCATCCTCTCCTCTCACGTCTTTATCGAAGTTAATAAAGCCGAATTTCTCAGACATAACATTGAAAAAAACTACCACAGAAGATTTTCCCAACTTAGCCCTGAAATACAAAACACCATTTATGCATATGTGATCAGACATACATCTCGCCTTAAAATGAAACTCGCATTCGATCCTTCTCCACAAAGGTTTTCCAGACTCCAATGTCAAAACCTGATGAGTATTGGGTCCTCCACCACGTGAAGAGATCACACACAATTCTTTTAACTGTTTGCTGATCGGATCATAGCCGCCAAGACAGGTTCCTGAAACCGCAGCTTTCGCTTTCTTGAAACCCTTAGCTTTCACTTGGGCTAAGGTTTTGTCTTTTCGAAGCACCGTGGGTAAGGTTAGGAACTCTCCCGTGATAGGGTTACAAATCACCCTCACGTTTCTTTTTCCAACTTCGTAAAGGAGGGCCAATCCACAGACCGTAGAACAACAGTAAGAAGATGAAAAGGATTCTGGAAAAGACGTATGATAACGTGTGGCTACAAGAGTAGAGTTATCATCTGGATTTTGAGGCTGAGGTGAAGAGTAGAATAATAAATTGCCATCAGCTTTCACGGTTAAAAGGAGGCGTGGACGAGTGGACGACTTGGTCAGAAACAGCTCTGTGAAATCAGGACGACGGAGTATGTACCCCAAGGATTTCGATATGCAATGAATCCTATCTATAGACTTTCTAGGGAGTCGAGAGAATATTTCGATAAGTAGATCAACTGGTATATGATCTGAGTAGAGCTGCTGCTTCAAACGTTTCATGGCGTGTTTTACAAACCCTAGATCAGAGCTTTAGCGTTTGTTTCTCTCCTACTTACTTTCTGCTTGATATAAGTTTTAAGATTCTCCAAACAGCTTTATAAAACTCGTTTACTCTCCCAAAGCTTCTACTAAAAAGTAAAAAACTCATCGTTCTTGTTTTGAGATTATATTAGTATTAGTATATTACCTGGAAATGAAAACCGACAAGTGTTTAAGCAGAATCTGGTAGCTCTTCAGTGAATTCCCCGAAGATGTCAGGGCAATCGTCCCAGTTTATGTGTCCTCTTGCTTCCCAGTAACCACATGTGTACTCGAACGTTTCGCTTTCTCCTTGTCTCTCAAACCATCTCGGTCTCCACCTGCTTTCTTGAAGTTGCCGTGACTGCAAAGAAACCGAGCAATTACAGTTCTTGAAACATAACTTATGAAATGTTAAGCTCATTCTACTTCTTTATTCATCAACCGCAAGTTCATGTATATGCACATGCATGAGCGAAAGGCTTGCAGACATGCACATGCATGAGCGAAAGGCTGCATTGATGGCACAAGAAGCTGAAGCCTTAGGAATGACATTAGGCGGTGGCTTGGTTCTTTTCCAACGTAGCGAGGCATTTGATGCAGGATCGCTGACTTTCGTCTTGCTGACTCCATCGCCAACAACATAGTGAAGGCTATCATCCCATTTACCATAATTTAGAGGTCTCGTCCTCATCCTGGAAAAGTTAGTTATGTGATTTTAATTTGTCTTAGCGTTTGGATTTAGCCTGATTTGTCTATGGTGTGTGTGATTTGTGAAGGAGATTGCCACTTATGTTACTTATACTTGAGTTATTAAGTACAAATACTATACCTACAGTAAATAAGATCCTTGTGTTTATAAAGAAGAATCAGTTTAGGTTAGGTCCTTGCTATGTGTCTTCTTCTCTTGTGCCATATGATATGGTGATGCTCCATAAGTAACTTTCAGGCTTATGAAGCTCTCTCTCTCTCTCTCTCTCTCTCTCTCTCTCTCTGTTTCTAGAAATTGTGTTAACTAAATTACACAGGATTTGCTGTTTCTGAAAGAAGACCTGTAAGAGTAAATCGTCTTCCTCTTGGAATCGTTTGATTCTTGTAAGTCAAGCAGCTCATCCTTTTCTTCAGCAAGCTGGTGTGGCTTGTGAGTTCAAGGTATTATAATAATTAAAAAATCTAATCAAACACAATCATGTTTTTGAATTCATGTAGCAGAGCAGTCAAGTCCAAATACTCATCCCATGGAAAGATCTTTTAAACCAGTTCTTGAGAATATACATCTGAAGAGATATGCGTTTTATACATTTTCCAGGATTATCCGGATCTTGGACACTCGATCTAGCTGCAGTATCTGGAGTTATGGATCAAACAACAGATGCAGAGTTCTTTATAATCTTCTTCTTAAATGCTTTTAAAAGAGCAACATTGCAATCTAGTTACCATCTTTTTTACCTATCAACATTTGAAGAACAATAATAACTTCAGTTCTTGGTCTGGTTGTGTCTTGTGAACACCGGCGGTTTCAGTTTAAACTGTATAGTTTTGTTGTAGTCTAGTTTTTGTTACACAATCCAAAGCTAATATAGAATTTGAGGGGGAGAGAGAGAGAGAGAGAGTGTAGAGCAGACAAAAACAGAACAACGTGTTCAGTTCTATAACAATTTGCTTGCTTAATTTAACCTTTCCCTTTTTTTTTTCTCTTATCTCCACTTCTGTTTTGTAGAGCAGAAATCAATAGTGAACACAATTTCCTTGAGCAATACAAATGCGGTTTAAACAAGTGCAGGATGTTATGTCTGAAAGACATGACACAGTAATTTGTTATTATTGCGTGGAACTTGGTAAGCTTTGATTTCATTTATGTTGAAATCTAAAATATAAGAGGAACAAAGTCATAACTAGAGTTGAAATCCAAAATATAAGTCTCAAGGTAAATAATGTATATGAAAGCCTTGAACACACTTGACTTAACTACGTAAACTTCAGATTCTCCACGTAGCCTAGAAAGGTGTCAAAAGTTCTATAATCCTTAAACTCTTCAAATCCCTGAATATTGACTCTTGCAACGGTTTTCCTCTTGAGATTGTAGAAGTAAAGACAGTTAATCTTTAGTCGGAAGAAGCCCGGGAACGGCGGCATGAACACGATGTCACCTGTACCAGTCATTCCAACAAACCGTTCATGTCTGACTAAAGGAGGCAATTCGTAGGCCTGCTTAGACCATTTGTGATTTCCAGCATCTTCTAGAACCCACAACACAAGTTCCTCATCAAAATAATCTGTTGCCTCACGTATACCTAATTTACCTTTGTAGTTGAACAAAGCCAGACGACCATGAAGATAAGAATCATCATCCTCTCCTTTCATGTCTTTATCGAAGTTAATAAAGCCGAATTTCTCAGACATAACGTTGAAGCAAACTACCACAGAAGATAGTCCCAACCTAGCTCCGAAATACAAAACACCATTTATGCATACTTCACCTCTTATACTACTAATCTTCATAAAATGGAACTCGCATTGGATCCTTCTCCACAAAAGTTTTCCAGACTCCAATGTCAAAACCTGGAGAGTATTGGGTCTTTCACAACCTGACGAGATCACACACAACACTTTGAACTGTTTGCTGATCCGATCATAGCCAAGACAGACTCGTGAAATAGCTTTGGCTTCAGGTAATGTTTTGTTTTTTATAAGCACTTTGGGTAAGGTAAGGAACTCTCCCGTGACAGGGTTACAAATCACACTCACTTTTCTTTTCCCGGCTTTGTAAAACAGGACCAATCCACAGACCGTAGAACACCTATATGATGGAACATATTCGGGAAAAGACGTATGATAACGTGTGGCAACAAGAGTAGAGTTATCATCTGGATTTTCAGGCTGAGGTGAAGAGTAGAAAAATAACTTGCCTTCAACTTTGAAGGTGAAAAGGATCCGTGGACGAGTGGACGACTTGGTCAGAAACAGCTCTGTGAAATCAGGACGACGGAGTATGTTACCCCAGAATTTCCATACGCAACGAAACCTATCTATAGACTTTCTAGGGAGTAGAGAGAGTATATCTATAAGTAGATCAACTGGTATATGATCTGAGTTGAGCTGCTGCTTCAAACGTTTCATTGCGTTTCATTGCGTGTTTTAAGATTCTCCAAACAGCTTTATAAAACTCGTTGAATCCCAAAGCTTCTACTAAAAGCTCAATTTTTTTGGCCAGGAGGTATCAAAACTTGGCCGGAGTTTTGAACTTTAACTAATGATGAATGTGTTATGTGTTTCAAACTTAATTATTTGTTTGCACCAGCGCTTGGTTCTTCCGTGCATTCATGTGATATTAAGTTTAAGAAAAAAAAGTTGTTTTGGTTAAATTTAGGAATTTTATGGTTTACTTTTCCCCCATATAGTCAGATATAGTGAGGCTGTTGGAGAAGTACATATAGTTGCAGACATGCACATGCATATAGTCAAAGATAAAAATAAATCAAATCTCATCGTTCTTGTTTTTGAGATTATATTTACCTGGAAATGAAACCGGCAAGTGTTTAAGCAGAATCTGCTAGATCTTCAGTGAATTCCCCGAAGATGCCAGGGCAATCATCCCAGTTTCTGTGTCCTCTTGCTTCCCAGTAACCACCAGTGTACTTGAACGTTTCGCTTTCTCCTTGTCTCTCAAACCATCTCGGTCTCCACCCGCTTTCTTGAAGTTGCCGTGACTGCAAAGAAACCGAGCAATTACAGTTCTTGAAACATAACTTATGGAAGCTCATTCTACTTCTTTATTCATCAACCGCAAGTACATGGACCTGTGAAATGTTAAGGTGGCGTACCATTCGTTGCAAGTTCAACACCAAAACCAAACAAAGCTAGAGACAAAAGATGAGACATAGCCAAAAAAAAAAAAAAAAAAAAAAAACAGAGAATCCATAAACATAACAAAAACCAAGTTTAGTTGCATTTATTTTATTTTATTGTAAATCTGAAAAGATTCGTCGTATTTGCCAGGCTTTATCCGGATCTTGGGAGACTCGATCAGTAGTAATAAGGAGCTGAAGTAGTCATGGATCAAATAGCGGATGCAGAGTTCTTCATCTTCTTCTTAATAAATGCTTTCAAAACCCAACTTTTCACTCTAGTTGACATCTTTCTTGTGACTTGTACGTTAAAACCGGTTTCAGTTATATAATGTTCATTTTTTTGTCACACAATCAAAGCTGATACAAAATATGAAGAGAATAGACAAAAAAAAAAACAGAATAATGATGAAAACTTAAATATCTATTGTAAAAGTTGATGAAATCCAAATAACATTAGGAAGGAGCAATATGACACAAAGTGTTGAAATCCAAAGTATAAAGCCTACAGTAAATAAAATATGAAAAAGCATTGAAGAAACACTTAGATAAACTTCAGATTCTCCACATGGTCTAGAAAGGTGCGAATAGTATGATGCTCAAACTCTTCAAATCCCTGAATATTGACTCTTGTAAAAGTTTTACTCTCGAGATTGTAGAAGTCAAGGAAGAAAGACTTTGGGTCGTCCTCGTACCAGACGGTTTCACCTGTACCAGTCATTCCAGCAAACCGTTTACTGGTGCTTAAACGAGGCAATCTGTAGGTATGATTGGACCATTTGTGATTTCCAGCATCATCTACAACCCATAACACAAGTTTATTTGTAGCCCAAAAAACTGATTTCTGCCGCATACCTAATTTACCTTTGTAGTTGAACAAAACTAGTTCACCAGAAAGATAATAACGAAAATCTCCTATCATGTCTTTATCTATGTTGATAAAGCTGAACTTCTCAGACCTAACGTCGAAACAAACTACCACACAAGAGTGTCCCAACCAAGCTCTGAAATACAAAACACCATTTATGCATATTTCTTCAGATAATCTTCTAATCCCTGTAAAATGAAACTGGCATTCGATCCTTCTCCACAAACGTTTTCCGGACTCCAATGTCAAAACCTGATGATTAGTGAGTCTGCCACAAGGTGACGAGGTCATACACAACACTTTGAATTGTTTGCTGATTGGATCATATCCAAGACTGATTCTTGAAATCTCATATTTTACTTCTGTGTCGGGGTTACTCCTAGCTTTCACTTGGGGTAAGGTACTTCTGTCTTTCAGAAGCAGTTTGGGTAAGGTTAGGAAGTCTCGCGTGACAGGGTTACAAAACACCCGCCCCTGTCTTTCATAATAACTATGAAGAAGGGCCAATCCACAAACCGTAGAACATTCATCAAATGGAACATATTTGGGAAAAGACGTATCATAAGGTGTGGCTACAAGAGTAGAGTTATCATCTGGATTTTGAGGCTGAGGTGAAGAGTAGAATAATAACTTTTCATCAACTTCTATGGTGAAAAGGAGGCGTGGACGAGTGGAAGACTTGGTCAGAAACAACTCAGTGAAATCAGGACGACGGAGTATGTATCCCCAGAATTTTGATACGCAACGGAACCTATCTATAGACTTTAAAGGGAGTTGAGAGAATATTTCGATAAGTAGATCAACTGGTATAGGGTCTGAGTAGAGTTGTTGCTTCGAATGTTTCATGGCGTGTTTTACAAACCCTATATTTGTTTCTCTCCTGCTGACTTTATATGCAAGAATTCTAAATGGGCTTTATTAGGCCCGATAGATCCAGCTGCAGTATATTTCTAATTGACTCGACTCGTTCTATCTACTTCTTGAATCAATAATTCTGACTTAAGTATAGTTTAGTTTTACAGTTTGTAAATCGAGATTTGTGGGAAAAAAAAATGATATTAGAGTTTCTTTTTTCTATGCAATAACCTGAACTATATCTTACAAGATTTTTCTTTTTTTAACAGTTACATAAACCATCTATATTCTTGTATGTAACTGTCTTCTCTGTTTTCTATTTTTTACGTGTGCAAAAGCATAGTGAAATTGATCTACGTACTATATAACGCTAACAAAATATATAGTCGTTGAACAACGAATGATGCAAAGTCGTCGTATATACCACCAACATACAAGACTCAGAAGCGCACGTATCTTTTACGTACACATACTTATAAGTTATAACGTACATTGTTTAAGAGAGTTAGTACAATGAACTCCTATAGGGTTTTAATGGAATTGCTTAAAGCCATTTCCTCTCCGCCTGCACCTGAAAATTCAAAAACTTGAGATAGTCAGATTTTAGACTAACTTCCACCTGCTAAGACTTCCAATAATGCATGTAGGTTAACATTAGAAATTTCAAATTTCACATAAGAAAAATAATGAAAAGTATATAATAAGTGAGATAAAAGTAAACTATACATTATCACATCCGACAGAAAACAAAACAAAATCCAAATGAGCTGCATGGTCTGTTCAAATTAGAGGGATGTTTTCGTCTAAACACAGAAATTTCTATTTGCGCCCATATCATCTCTTTGGATTCTCCCAGCTGCACCCAGCACCCACCGACTACATGTGGTTTCCCACAATTACCCCTCGATTAGTTCAAATATTATAGAATCTTGACACTAGAGTGACAGCTAGAGAAGAATCTCAGTCCGAACGTATTTTCTCTACACTATCGTCTACTCCATGAAACATTTGAAGCAGCATTTAATTTAAAGATTTGAAGCAACAGCTCCACTAGAGTACATTTTAAAAATTATAAATAGTTGTCATTGCGAAAAAAAATGTCGAAACTGTTGAATAAGGGTTTACGAAATTGACAGGAAATGTGTGTCTAGGAAATCCCTAAACCTTAATCATCATCTAACACAACTTATCATCATTCTTTTTTTTTTTCCTTTTCTTTGAACAACTCAACTTATCATCATTCAAGTTCAAGAAATTGGCCATCATATGAGAAAACAACAATAATCAAACTGGTGTATTATCCTTTGCTTTTAATAGTAACAAGTGGTTTATATAGTATTCTTACTAACCGCTTCACTGCTCTAGCCATCGATCTAAGGTGTTACGTCAGGTATGATTAATCATATTTCTTTCAATAAAAAATATATGTACATATAATTATCATTAGTCCAAACAGATCTTTTTCTAAATGTTTATCGATCTAGCTGCTAAAATTTGATACAATATTTCATTATACGAACTATTTGTACCGTAGTAGTATATTTGTACACAAATTCAGTTATTGCAATCATTCCGAATTTAAAATGCAAACTAGCATTATTCGCACATAGATCACGTGTGATGTAAATTGAAATGTTCAAAATCTACAGTCAAATAAAATATTCATTCAAAAATCTATACGTACATAAACTTATTGCGATTATTGAAACGCTGTCATTGGGCCGTTGGATATGGTCCTACGTAAGGGAGAGGGTCTATTATTTGTTAAACACCAATCTATCAATTCTTGCGACTCCAACAACAAAACTCTAATAATCTTCTTTTACAACAAAACTAATAAAATGATACCCAAATTATTGTGTTGATTTTAGAATTTTGTATAAGAGATTCGAATTTCCAAGTTTAAGCTTGTATCGTATAAGTTATAACAAGCGTCAAAGTAGCTAACACTTTTTGTCGAGCCACTTTTTTCGAGGCAAAGATTTTGGACGTTGATACTTGTTTTTGTAATCTTCTCATACAAAGACCACCATAGTCCAAAATAGTTCTTAAGATCTCACATGTGATGGGATTTTTTTTGTTCTTATTGCTTGAGCCAAGTAATAGCCGAGTTGTATTTAATTAAAAGTTATCTAAAGGATTAAAATGAGCATAAATTTCAAATAGGAAAACACAGTGAAGAAGAAAATATAAGGGGGGGTGATTCGGCAAATTCTTGAAACAAACAGAAAAAAATTGTAAAATAAAAAAAGCGCCAACTATTGTAGGGATTACTGTTACAAACGAACCAATCAAAAACAAAACCTCTAACTGTAAGTTGGCTACTTCAAAGATTACGCAATCGCCTGTTTATAGGACTCAGTGGCAAATTCGTAATAACAGAGTGATGACTGACCCATTTCCGTCATTTCGAATCCTTCGTCCTTCTTCTTTCTCTCCACCTTCACTGCCACTCACACCTACACGCGCGAATACTCTCTCTTCTCTCTCTCTTCTGAAGCACTCAAAAAAGAGTAAAGTTCTCTGTATTTCTCTCTCTCTCTAGAAATGGCGGGTCGGATCCAATCCCACCAGCTGCCCAATGGACTCTACGTTTCGGGGAAGCTCGAGCAGCCAAAAGAGCGGCCACCGACAATGGCGGCTCGAGCTGTGCCTTACACGGGAGGCGACATCAAGAAATCCGGCGAGCTCGGGAGGATGTTTGACATCTCCACCGCCGATCCCTCCTCTTTCCAAGGACCGCCGCCGCTCATCGTCGGTGGAAACAGCAGCGGCGGAAACTCGAGGCAGCAAGCGCCGCCACGTGTCTCCGGCTCGTCTTCGAACCCTAACAGTGGATCCGTTCGATCCGGACCCAACTCCGGCTCCGTCAAGAAATTCTCCGGTCCGCTCTCTCAGCTTCAGCCGACCGGTTTAATAACCTCCGGTTCGCTCGGTTCGTCAGGTCCGATTGGGTCCGGGTCTAGGAGGTCGGGTCAACTGGACCACCAAGTGAGTAATCTGGGTTCGAGCAAGCCTAAATACGGAACGTCGGTGACGAGCCTGAACACGGACCCGGTCCGGGTCGGGTTTAAAGTTCCCAAGGCGGTTGTCTGGGCGGTTCTGATCGTGGCGGCGATGGGTTTGCTCGTGGGAGCGTTTCTAACAGTGGCGGTGAAGAAACCGGTGGTGATTGCGGCGGTTATAGCTGCTGTTATCCCCGCCGTCGTGGTTCTGGTGTGGAATTGCGTTTGGGGAAGAAAAGGATTGTTGAGCTTCATCAAAAAGTATCCAGATGCTGAGCTTAGAGGCGCCATTGATGGACAATTCGTCAAGGTTACAGGAGTAAGTTTTTCACCTAATTTTCATTGTGAAATTCCAATTTTAGAGAGTGGTTTAATTGTTCTGAAACTTAAACTTGGAGGATTGAAATGTGAAAACTTTATTGTTATGTTTGTAGGTTGTAACATGTGGAAGCATTCCTCTGGAGTCTTCATACCAAAGAACACCAAGATGCGTTTACGTCTCCACGGAACTGTACGAGTACAAAGGTCTTGGTGGCAAGTCTGCAAACCCGAAGCATCGATGCTTTTCTTGGGGATCTAGACATGCAGAGGTTAGTTTCTTTTTTTCAATCTTGCGAAGCAGAACCATATGATACGTACAAGAGTTTGATGATTCTGTATTCGTTTGGCAGAAATACGTTTCGGATTTCTACATATCAGATTTCCAATCTGGATTGAGGGCGCTAGTGAAAGCAGGATATGGATCAAAAGTTTCACCGTTTGTGAAACCGGCGACAGTGGCTAATGTAACGACGCAGAACAAAGATTTATCTCCGAGCTTCCTAAAGTGGCTCTCGGATCGCAACCTCTCAGCTGATAACCGTGTCATGCGTCTCAAAGAAGGGTACGCATCTTAGATTCTTCTTTCAAGTTGCACTCTTACGAAGTAGCATAGCCAAAAACTAGAAAAAGACTCTTTCATTAGAGTCACTATCCAAAACTTTGATCCTGATTTGACCTTAAAGTATCCACACTAAAAGTCACAATCATGGAAATGTGATGAAAAAAAAGCTAACGTTTGTCAAAGTGAACGGCATAAACATCTCACATCAGTGCTTGATAAGTTTGAAAAAGGAATCTTGAAGATTGAATTAGGACTAAAGTTAGTGAGACCCAAAAGTCACCGTTTTTAGTACAGAGAAGCTTTTTTGGCTGTTTTCATCTTTGTATATATGTATACTTTGTTGCTGATCATATTTGATTGTGTTTGATGATCAGATTCATAAAAGAAGGAAGCACGGTGAGCGTAATGGGAATGGTGAGAAGACACGACAACGTTCTGATGATAGTTCCTCCGGCGGAAGCAGTCTCAAGTGGCTGCCGGTGGTGGCGCTGCCTCCTTCCGACATACGCAGATGGACTAATCATCACTTGTGACGATAATCAAAACGCTGATGTCATTCCTGTCTGAATCCAATAACAATATGTGTATGTAATGCTTCTTTTGCCCGATATTCAATTATATATATGAATGCGTAAGAGTTAGGCTCACGAGACTGAAGAAAGAAGAGAGAGAGAAACAAACGAAAGGAAGGCCATGTTGGTTTCAAAAGGGAAACCAAATGGGCTTTTGCCTTTTGAGATGATCCTATTGGCTATTAGTTTTTTTCTTTTTGTCTTCTGCTTAATTTCTGTTCTTTTTTTGCCCCTTCTTTGGGGGTTAATTATGTTTGTGTACATAAAGCTCCAAATTGTAAATACTATTTTCTGTTTAAATAATTATTATGTTCAAACGTACGACCTGAAAATCGATTTAGCTAGCAAGATCATGACATCAATGCTACTGGCAATATGTGGATTCTCTCTGTTTCATACTTGGCTTCACCGATTCTTACAAAGACAAAAACGATACTATTTGCTAAGGTTTCGCAACAATCAATGGGTTTTGGATCACTGATATGGATCCACAATGCGTCCTTGAGAATTATCTAAAAGATATATAAGCTAAGGTTTATAGTTTTTTGCTCATGCTTTCATGTCGTTATTGCCTTACTGGTGGTGTTTGGTGCGGTGGTTTTGTTTGATCGGAATGCGGTAAGAACAAAATTCTGGCACCATCGGCGGAAGCGATGGAGTTCTCACGGCGTTGCCGTTAGGCGTAGGAGTGTTTGCAACATTTCCTACATGTTTGAAATTTATTTATTTTATGATATACATGTAACATGTTACTTGTTGTTCAAGATTTTTTCTTTTGATAATCTTTTTAAAGAGAGAGACTTGTTACGAAAATCGTGTAAACTGTTTCTGATGATCTCTTAAAATAAAATCAAAAATAAAAAGAGGTAATTAAGATTACCTCGTGATACGACAAATCACATTCACAACCGCTAGCGAAACCTCAAACACAACCATGACCACCGCTAGCTAAACCACAACCACAACCACCACCGCAACCGCATCGACAACCGCTAGTGACGCCACCTGTTTGAGAAGCACAACGGAAATTGGTACCAATATTGATCGAACCCGTGGTGGGAGATATAACTCATGACGAGACTCAACCACTTTAAACGGATCCGAATTGGTGTTGTAATCCCTATATTATTTATACTTAAAGCGTAATAATTAAAGTTAACCAAACTGTTTTCCTGGCTTAGACTGGTTTGTTAATTATTTTGCCTTGTCTTTATTGGCCCAAATGCTTACGAAGTTCTTTGCATCGGTTTTTGCATCGGTTTAGAGATTTTTATTGTTTTTTCAAATTATTTTACAATTCGGTTCAAGAATTTTGCCTAGCTCTAGCAACACTCTCTCGCTGACCCGACCCATCGGTTCGTAACCGGTTTTTCTGTAACCATGATTGGAGACCTAGCTAGTCGCTGAAAACGTTTTATTAGGGTTTTTGAGTTGTTTACTGTTTATTGGCAAAAAAAAGCATGGATATGAAGATGATCAACGATCTAGGAGACGATGTTCTTCGCCACATAATATCTTTCCTTCCGATAAGAGAAGCTGCTTTCACATCTCTTCTCTCAAATCGATGGCGTTATATGTTTGCCTTGCCAACGAATCTCCGTTTAGATTATGACGAAGAAGTGTGTGGAAGAAGAAGACCAGAATATTTCATCGAGTTTGTGGATAGAGTGTTGGCCCGGTCAGGCAATATCCCAACGAGGAAGATCTCGATAAAATTTCGAAAGAGTATCGATTCGCGTCATGTCAACCGGTGGATGACTAAAGTGCTGCAACATGGTCTCTTGAATCTTGACATAGACGTAATCTTTGGACATGATTATTATGTAGTGCCTCTCGAGACCTTCTTCACTTGCAAGAACATGGTTGAGCTGAAACTCGGAAAAGGGTTTCTGGCTACACTTCCTGGAGATGTGTCTCTTCCATCACTTAAGAAGCTCTATCTCGATTCGGTTTATTTCACGAATAGCGGTTTATGTGTTTCGGGGAAGCTTCTCTCTGCTTGTCCAGTGCTTGAGGAACTAACCATGCTTGAGGGTGAGGGGACCTGGAAGTATTTCTGTATCAACGTGTCCTCTTTTACCCTTAAGAAACTTACTATCAAGTGTAATGAAGGTTCACATATACGGGACATGACTTTGGATACGCCGAATCTTGTCTACTTGGAATACTCTGGTTTTGTTAAAAGAAACTATCCGACTGTGAGTCTTGAGTCCCTTGTCGAAGCCAAGCTTGGTCTCTTGTTTGAAAGGCTCGTTGGAATTGATTCGCTATATCGTAGTTTATATACTGGTCGCAATCCAACAAATCTGATTAAAGGGTTGAGAAATGTTGAGGTCTTGGAGTTATCATCTCTTGATACTTGGGAAAAGGTAGAGAATATAATGATCTCTTCTTCTCTTTTTTTCCTTTCTCTGTAAGATCATAAAAAATAGCATGAAGTTTAGGAAACCCTTGTTTCGTTTTCTTTGAGGTTTTTTAATTTAAATATTGCATTTGGTAGATGACTATTGACTAGTTGATTTTTTTTTTTCCTCTCTCAAATTTTGTTTCAGGTATTCAGTTATTTCCGTGAAGCCATCCCAGTGTTCAGTAACCTGGTTCGTTTATCTGTTAAAATCCCTCTCTCCTACCACTACTGCGATTGGGAACCTCTGCTGTTGCTTGTTAAAAAATCTCCAAATCTTAAGACTCTCGTCATCAAGGTATTGTATATAACCGAAAACCCTAGGAAGTTTGTATATTATTATTGGACAAAAACTCAAGTCTCTAAATTCTCTTCAGGGTCCACGTGAATGGGGTGAACGAGATTATGGATTGTCATGTCCCGTGAAAGTATTGAAGACGACTTGCCATGGAGGAAAAACTGGAGAGCTACAGCAGATGAAATATTTCATAGAGGAACTGCCATGTCTTGAGCTTATTGAAGTCTGTGCTTATGCAATAAACGACGAGGAAAAGTCTCGGATCACCCTTGAGTTGCTGCTTATGGTTCCTAAACCGTTGAAGTGCAATATCCAGATCATGTTTTGTCAGGAAGGAATATCTTAGATTACGTTGTGTGAGAGAACTAATGCATGAAAAACAAGCTGTGTTCCCTCCTAGTTGAATAATTAGTTGAGCCCTGTTGGAACATGAATCGGTTTATTTATGCTAAACTTGCGGATTTTGGAAATGCATAAATTTTACATTTTTCGATTTGACCATTCATCTTTGTGTAGGCTTTGTGTCAACACATGATTTTATATTATTCCAAAATTTTAATCTAGATACTATTATGTATTTTCATTCATATGAAGAATTAAATGAATAGAAAATGTGTTGTAGGCTTGAGGTTTTGGGAATGACTTTTTTTTTGGGTTTCAGTATCATGACAAAAGATTGATAGTTAAAAAACAAAAGGTAAAGTGAAATATGTTGCACAATTGTTAACAAAAAAGGTAACACTTCTTCTTCAAAAGGTAACACTATAAACTTTTAATGGATAACTAAAAATAGGTGAAGGCGTGAAGCTATTTTTATCTTCCTATATTAGTTCATCAGTTTAATAATCGAGTTCTTCTTAATAAGTGTTTTGCTTAGTGTAATAGAGTTATTCGAACTTTGCTTAGTTTGGTATATATGTTCCATTTACTTTGATTTCACTGGATTCATGGACCTGGTTTGAACTAGGTCTCACACACTTAAAATGATTTTTACATAATAGGGTGAAAAACAAACTTAAATGCTTACGAAGTTCTTTGCATCGTTTTGGAGATTATCAGATTACTATTCGTATATTCAAAGGAGTAGTATTTAACTATTTACTAGTTACTGCTGAATCATATTGTAAAAGAATTTAAAAATAATAAAACAAGTGGAGGAAGTGAGTAACTGAGTACGGAGGATCGGGATTCGGGACCGTGGTTGGTCGTCGGAGAGATAAGAGGAAAAAGAGAGGCGATGATACGAAGACTCTCCAAAAGAGCTTCTGGATTCGCTAACAATTGGTTCCTCAAATCTCCGGCGTCGCGATTTCACGGCGGCGAGTCTCTCGATTCCTCCGTCTCACCTCTTCTCATTCCCGGCGTCCATGTCTTCCATTCTCAGGTACATCTCGTGCTTCTGCTGAATTGAATCGAATCGGAAAAAAAAAAAAAAATTAATTTCATGAAATTGAAATCCTTTGTTGCTCTAAATAGGATGCTGTTGGAATCGTAGCGAAGCTATCAGATTGTATTGCAGCAAAAGGCGGTAACATTCTCGGCTACGATGTTTTCGTCCCCGAGAACAACACCGTCTTCTACTCTCGGAGGTATTTATTCAGTAAACCTTCTGTAGCAAATGTACTGAGAGAGTGAATGGCAACAATTGAGTGATTTTGGTGTTTACTTGTGATGGAATAGTGAGTTCATGTTTGATCCGGTGAAATGGCCGAGAAAGCAAGTGGATGAAGATTTTCGAAGCATTGCGGAAACGTACGGAGCCATGAACTCGGTTGTGCGTGTGGCTTCTCTAGATCCCAAGTACAAGATTGCTCTTCTCCTCTCTAAACAGGTATTCAAATTCAAACACATTCCTCCTGGAGAAGTATATGATGTGATGTGACTCTTATCTATGAATTTATCTATGTACTCAGGATCATTGTCTAATTGAAATGTTGCATAAATGGCAAGACGGAAAGCTCCCTGTGGATATAACCTGTGTGATAAGGTGAATCAGCTTAATAATACATGTCTCAAGTGATTGATTCAGATGGTTTTATGCTCTACTGAGAGAAATTTTTGTTTTTTTGTTTATAGTAATCATGAAAGAGCTTCAAACACTCATGTCATGAGGTTTCTTGAGAGGCATGGCATTCCGTATCATTACGTGTCGACAACGAAAGAGAATAAAAAAGAAGATGAGATTTTGGAGCTTGTTAAAGATACTGACTTCCTAGTTCTCGCTAGATACATGCAGGTGAACCAAAAGAAAAATGATCTTTAAGTCTTGTCAAGGAAATTGATCTTTAACTCTTGGCAGATTCTGTCTGGTGCATTCTTGAAAGGATATGGAAAGGATGTAATCAACATCCACCATGGTCTCTTGCCATCATTCAAAGGCGGAAATCCAGCCAGACAGGTCTTTAAGCTCTACCTTCTGGTTATTTGGTCTCTTTGTTGTTATGTGTCCCTTAGTGTTGTAGATTTCTTTTTTGCCAGGCGTTTGATGCAGGTGTGAAGCTGATTGGTGCAACAAGCCACTTTGTTACAGAGGAACTTGATTCAGGGCCTATCATTGAACAAATGGTTAACTTTTCTGCAAACTAGTTCTTTGGCATCTTTCTCAATTAATCTGTCTTATTTTTGTTTTGTTTTTTTTTTTGGTTTTTTCAGGTTGATAGTGTTTCACACAGAGACAATCTAAGGAGCTTTGTCCAGAAATCTGAGGACCTGGAGAAGAAGTGCCTCACGAAAGCTATAAAGTCATACTGCGAGCTACGGGTATTACCTTATGGCACAAACAAGACTGTTGTATTCTAATAAAAGCAAGCAAGGACTACGGTTCTCATCTGATTCTTTGTAATGAAAACAAAAAACTCAAGAAAAGGTTATAACAACAACTCTCTGGAAGATTTCTGATTCATTTGCAGTATTTGCAAAACTGTGAATAAAAAGTAAATTACAGGATTCTCTGTCGCATACGATCACTGAGCCTCAGAGATTCGAGACAATTTACTTGGCAACTGGTAGACTGAATCCCAGCAACCCAAAAGACACTGTCCAGTTTTCAGACCAAAATTAGAATTCTTCTGAATTTCACCTCTCTTTCCTGTAAGGCCATGCAGATATCTCGTCGCACACTCCATAAACAACACCTTCAGAAGGAACAAGAAGCTTGAGACTTGCGTGTTTCAAGTAATTTCCATAATGTTTTGAAAAAAACTAAAAAATGGTTACATTTTATCTTCTTGGAGAATGCCCCCTCCAACATTTTTGCTTTTGAGTATGAGGGAGGCAACGCAAGCACTAGAGTCTCTCAGGTGACGGTAACATTTAAATTTAAGAGAAACCTTGTTTCTGGCTTCTTGATATCAAGTACTCCGCCAGCTGTCTTGCATGAAGTATGCCTATATCACGATATTGATCAAGTACTCTATACGTTGGACAAGTAACTAATTAAATACTTGATATTAACATAAATGACAAGACAAATTAGAAACATATAGTTTTAAACCTTCAATATACGATAATGCTAAACTAAATACATGTATCTCTTCTCTTGCAAGAAATGCTTGATATTTAGTTTTGTACATTTTGGTACGTAAGACAGTTAGTTGTAATTTTACTATTGCATTCAAGTACATGTATTTCTCTTGCAAGAAATGCTCACGTATCCTAATAAATACAAATGTATCGACATGTGCATGTATGTGTATATATAAAGGCTATGATGTAGGAAGAAGAACACACCACAACTCACAACAAAAACACAAAAACATCTTAACTAGAAATAATTTACTTTTTAAAAAGATGAATGCCACAAAGTTCGTTGTGATTCTCTTCATTGGAGTTGTGTGTGCCAATGTTGGCGCAAGGCAGCTCGAAGAAGTCCCCAAAGAGGCCAAATTAGGCATCTCTATTCCCGAAACTGCAACTACCAATGGCGTTGGAACTCAGCTTTACGTTGCTATCGCTGGTAGTGGCTACGGAGGCGGAAGTAGCACTCTGAAGCTGATAACGGTCGTGGCCGTTCCAGGGCCGTACATCCTCAGGTGGCTTCGGAAGTGGCGACGGATCTATCGTTGCCGATGGTAACAACGCAAACGCTTATTTAGATAACTATGGTACCGGTCAAGGCGAGACTAGAGCTGAAGCGGGAGACGGTGGTGCCACCACCAGTGGAACCGGCAATGGATATGGCGGCAGCTTTGGGAGTGGAAGCAGCAGCAGCCCTTGAGCTTGAGCTGTGATCATGATAGCTCATTGCTCCGCGTATATATTATACTCTACAAACTAAATTCACAATCTCTTTTGTATTCATAAATAAAACCAGAGATTGTCACTTTTAAGTTATTATTATGAAATGTTAATACCCTTTGTGTGTAATATATATTGCTAAATAAAATAAAATGCCATAATTACGTGTATATTTTATTTGTCTTAGTGAAATCATGTCAAACGGTGGATCAGTAAATTGTTGAAAAATGGTCTATTGAAACTTGACATAGACGTAATGGGTGAATATGATTATATAGTGCCTCCCGAGGTCTTCTTCACTTGCAAGAACATTATTTAGCTGAAACTAGGAGAAGGGTGTCGGGCTATGCTTCCTGGAGATGTGATCTCTTCCATCACTTAAGAAGCTCTATCTCGATTTGGTTTATTTAACGATACCAAGCTCTATCTTTAAATGAACTCAAAACGATGAAGCGTATAAAGAAATATGTACCTTTCTTCACCATATCTTCGGAGAGAAAACATCATATGCCAAAACGATTCAATCCTATAGTTTATAATGGAAAGTTATAACACGAGCTCTTGGCATGACAACAAAATTAAACACGAGAGGTCTTCGTATATATATATATGGATAATACGTATGGACAAGGTCGTGTCAAATTAATAAAAGGAAATGCTAAGCTGAACAATACAATAAAATAGATAATTAGCTTTTAATTTAGATTTATCCTTTTGCAGTTTAGAGAACAGAAAATTTACTTTTTTTGAATAAATGTGGAGTCTTTTACCTATATAAGTATGTGTATGCATGGAAAGCAAAATATCATTCGATCAGTTCAAAGCAGTAAACTAGTTTTTCAGAATATTGATTCAATCTCTCTTTCTTTTGATATCCTGAGAACAACTTGTGTGTGTGTGTGTGTTTTTTGTTGCTTACGACCACAAATTCAAATACAAACAGCAAAACAAAATATGACTCGATACATTATATTCCACGAAACAGCACCGCCACCAACGCCGTTAAAAACTCTCGCCCCATGGGTGACCTTCCTTATAATGATTTTCCCAGCTCTTCTCTTCATCTTCATATTAGCTGGCTTTGTTATATGCGATAGGATCTGCCGCTATCACGCCGGCGTTAACTCCTCGACAATTGGAGAATCTCCACCGTCGCCCAACAGAGGACTCAAGAGGGAAGCACTTCAGTCCCTCCCTAAATCCTCGCCGTGCTTCTCCACCGAGTGCGCCATATGCTTAACGGAATTTTCAGTAGGAGAAGAAATCGAGGTCTTGCCGATGTGTAGCCACACTTTCCACGTGGCGTGCATTGACGAATGGTTGACTTATTCTTCGTCATGTCCATCTTGCCGACGTCGGGTTTTGGTTCCGGTCATGTGTCATCAACATTTCACTTCTGCCGCCGTTGCTCCTTGAAATGTTCCCTTTCTTTTCCTTTTTTTTTTACAATTTGCAAAAATTTATCAGTATTACTTTATTTCACTACTGTATGATCTTACAATATCTTAAGAGAGATTGCACTGAATAACCCATGAAAAAAAAAAATACAATTAACTCAATCACCATAAAATGCTTTAGCTATGATATATCATAATTTATACTAATATACTCCCTATGTTTCATATTATAAGGGATTTTAGGTTTTGACATTAAGACTAAGAACTCATATAATTTTTCTAGTTTTCAAAATAAAGCATGTTTTATCATAAATTCCAAAACAATTCAAACAATAAAAATATCAATATGCATCATTAACAGAATCAAAAACAACAGAAGCACATTTAAATTTGCATATATATTTGAAAACCTCTTATAAACATACCAAAAAAAATCTCTTAAACATCTTATAATATAAAACCTAGAGAGTAAGTATGTTATAATTCGGTCAAGAAACTATGCTCCACCCACCCGATTGGAATCCTTTTACAAAATTAGGTTTTTCTGTAATCCGGATTTGATTTGGGGTGTGTTGTCGGCGTCGAATAGACTATCTCTCTGCTGCGATTCTGCTCAAGAAAATGTTGATAGTAGTGAACTAAATGAAATGTCCGGGTGATAAAATTCGTTGGATGCTTTGCAAGCAGAATACTTATTGATCAATCATCAATCTATCTAGTATCTATTTTGGTTGCTGAATTTTTAGGATGGATATGATCAACGATCTAGGAGATGATGTTCTTGGCCACATAATATCATTCCTTCCGGTAAGAGAAGGTGCTTTCACATGTCTTCTCTCAAAGCGGTGGCGTTACCTGTTTGCCTTCCCGACGAATCTCCGTTTGGATTACGACGACGAAGTGTTTGGAGGAAGAGGAGATGATTTCGTCGTTTTTGCGGATAGAGCGTTGGCTCTGTCAGGCGATTTCCCCACGAGGGAGATATCGATAAAATGTCGAAAGATCATCGATTCGGATCATGTCACGGGGTGGATCGCTAAGTCGTTGAGACGTGGTCTCTTGAAACTTGACATAGACGTAATCGGTGGATTTGACAATGTAGTGCCTCTCGAGATCTTCTTCACTTGCAAGAACTTGGTTGAGCTGAAACTAGCAAAAGCGTTTCGGGCTATACTTCCTGGAGATGTCTCTTTTCCATCACTTAAGAAGCTCTATCTCGATTCGGTCTGTTTCATGAATACAGGTTTGTGTGTTTTGGGGAAGCTTCTCTCTGCTTGTCCTGTGCTTGAGGATTTAACCGTTCTAGAGGGTAAGAGGAGATCTCAGGGTTCAGCTAGCTGTCTCAACGTGACATCTTCGACCCTTAAGAAACTTACTATCAAGTGTGCTCAGGATTCACGGGACATGACTTTAGATACGCCGAATCTTGTCTACTTGGAATACAATGGTGATGTTAAAAGAAACTATCCGACTGTGAGTCTTGAGTCCCTTGTGGAAGCTAAGCTTGATCTTAATTTCAGTTTTGGTTATCCAAAAAATCTGATGGAAGGATTGAGAAATGTTGAGGTCTTAGAGTTATCATGTGCTGGTACTTGGAAGGTAAAGAAATGATCTCTTGTTCTCGTTTTTCTTTCTCTGTAAAGATCATGCATGAAGAGGAGAGTTTAGGAATCCTTGTTTCGTTTCTCTTTGAGGTTTTTTGAATTTAAATATTGCATTTGGTTGATGACTATTGACTAGTTGATTTGTTTCAGATATTCAGGTATTGCCCTGAAGCCATACCAGTATTCAGCAACCTGATTCGTTTATCTATTAATACTCAAGTCCCTCGCTACTATTACGAGAATCATTGGGAATATCTGCCGATACTTGTTAAAAAATCTCCAAACCTAGAGACTCTCGTCATCAAGGTATTGTACATAACCAAAAACCCTAGGAAGTTTGTTTATTGGACAAAAACTCAAATCTCTAATTGCTCCCTCTTGAATTCAGGGTCCATTGAACGTCGATGAACGTGAACAACTAGGTGACCGAGATTATGGATTGGCATGTCCCGTGAAAGTATTGAAGGTAACCGAGTATGGAGGCAAAACTGGAGAGCTAGTGAAGATGAGACATTTCCTTAAGAAACTGTCATGTCTTGAGCTTGTTGAAGTTCTTGCTTATGCAGTGAACGACAAGGAAAAGTCTCGGATTACCCAAGATCTGCTAATGGTTCCTAGACCGTCCAATTGCATTATCCAGATCATGTTTTGTGAGAAAGCAATACCTTAAAGTCAGTTGTGTGAGCATGAAGAAAACAAACTTTTTCTCTCCTAGTTGAATAGTTAAGTCTGTTTGGAACATAAATCGGTTTATTTGTGTGCACATTTGGTTACAATTGCTCTGTTCGTTTTCTTTGGATTTGTGGACTTCTGTCTTTGGAAAAGAAGTGTTTCGTATTATGTTGTTTGCAACATTTCATACAAGACGCAATGGTATTTGTTTTCCATTCTATACATGTTACTTGTTGTTCAAGATTCTTTGTTTTGATGATATCTTGAAAGAGACTTGTTACAAAAATCATGTAAACTGTTTCTTTTTTTTTTGGTAGAAGAGAGGGGACTAAGTCCCCCTCAGTTTTATTAAAGCTAATAAGTTCTTACAAAACGGGCTCGTGTAGAGCCATTAACATCCTTAGACAACAACACTGAGATTTCAGTGGGAGCAGAGGTAAATAAACAAAAACAAGGAAATGAGAAGGCAAGATTCGCCAGCCCATCGGCCACACGATTTGCCTCCCTGTAGACATGCGTAATACGGACTATCCAGTCCCTTACCAAGAAGCCATAGCACAAACGCACTAGGAAAGACAGGGAGTGAGCATCACTGATCCCTGAGTTAAAAAAGCCAACAACAATCTCCGAGTCTACCTCAATCTCTAGTCGCGGGATACGTCTCTCCCAGGCTATGCAGAGACCGTAATAAACCCCCTAGAGCTCTGCCAAAGGAGCAGAACAGACACCAATATTAAGACCAAAGCCGCACACCCACTCTCCACGTTCATCCCTAAGGACTCCTCCGGCAGCCGCTAATCCTGGATTTCATCGAGAAGCACCGTCGGTGTTCATTTTCCACCATCCAGACTCCGGCGGTTTCCAAGCTATGTGTCTTTCCACTCGGACTCCTGCACATGCTCGTTCTCGAAGGTGTTCATGTGCCAAAGAAACTTCGCTCGCCAGATTCTTCAAAAACTTTACTCGGTCCCTGCATTTACCATTGTTTCCAAATACATTCCAGCATCGCCATTTCCATCCCCACCATATGGATATTGCAAAGATGGTTGACCAAGTGTATCCTCCCATATCCATATCATTCCCGAGATTATCATGCAACCAGCATAGGAGTGGGAAGGTAAAGAATTCACGTTGTTTCCTGACAGGTACTATTCGAGTCCATATACCTGACATCGCCGGACAGTCGCGGAGAATATGCATACTGGATTCCTCCCCTCCCTTGCAGACTTGGCATAAACTGGTGTCTGTGAGATGTCGTCTTCTTCTCTCCATATTTGTCATGATAGCATTGTTGGTCACTAACCAGAGGAAAACCCGTGTCCGTTCAGGCACCACTACCCGCCAAATTTTAATAAACAGGGCCTGCATATTTGGTCTCGGTGTCGCATCCGAGGTGAGAAAGTCATAAAAATAATAATATAATGCTAATCTAACTTAACATTCATGGGTATTTACATTTGCTGATTTTGGATATGCATAAATTTAAAAAGTTTTAAAACCTAGAAAATTGGTTCATTGTTCGATTTGACGATGCATATACTGATATACAGTATGTGTCAACATATGATTTTATATAGTGTTAATATTTTAACCAAAATAGTATTATGTATTTATATGAAGAATTAAATGAACAAAAAAATGTGTTGTTATATAATAAGATATTTAACGCTTATTAATTAAAGTTAATCTAATTGTTTTCCTGGTTTATAGTGGTTTGTTAATTATTTCGCCTTGACCAATTTTTTGCAGAAACAACACAAATTTTAAAAGGGCAAAGCAACATGTTTTATGTCAACGTTTGAACTTGATGACAACCACACAAAGTGCTTATTTAGTGGGTGACTTTTGACTTTGTTAGTTTAATTTCAGAGGAAAAAATTCAGGGTTTGATTTGCAAATTTAATTTAATTGGAGGGTTAATTTGCACAAACCTCTTTATTGATCTATTCAACTCCTTAATTCAATAACACAAGATTTCAAACTCTTTTAATAAAGAAACTGTAAATACAAGAACCAATAACACTAGAAAGTGTTTAAAATATTTAAACCAATAACATTAGATTTGGTTAAAAATTTCAAAACCATGATTAAATAACAATGGATTAAATGATTGGATTTAAACTATATTAAAAATCATGATTGAATAACGCCCCTTAGTTAACAGAAAAATACTTTTTAGAAGAGATGTGGAGTCTTTTACCTATATAAGTATGTATATATGCATGGGAAAGCAAAATATCATTACATAAATTCAGAGCAATAAACTAGTTTTTCAGAATAATTGATTCAGTCTCTCTTTCTTTTGATATTCTGAGAACAACTTGTGTGTGTGTGTGTGTGTTTTTTTATTTTTTTGCTTACGACCACAAATTCAAATACAAACAGCAAAACAAATATGACTCGATCCAATATATTCCTCGGCACCAGCACCGTCACCAGCGCCGTCGTTATACACTCTCGTGACCTTCTTACTCGCTGTGATTTCCTGCGCCTTATTATTAGCTCTCTTCGCTGCGTGCTTTAGGTCCATCTATCTCACCGTCCTTAACTTCTTCGACGATGGAGAATCTCCGCCGCCGCCGAACAACAGCCTCAAGAAGAAACTACTTCAGTCCCACCCTGAATCCACCTTCACCGCCTCAGCCGATTCGCCGTGCTACTCCACAGAGTGCGCCGTATGCTTAACGAAATTTTCAGAGGGAGAAGAAATTTGGGTATTGCCGATGTGTAGCCACGCTTTTCACGTGGCGTGCATTGGCAAATGGTTGACTTATTCGTCGTCGTGTCCATCTTGCCGTCGGATTATGGTTCCGGTGAATGATGTGTGATCGGTGTGACCACCACGTTTCCACGGTGGAGAGTCAGCTTCCTCCTCATTAACATTTCACTTATGCCGCCGTTACTCCTTGAAATGTTCCCCTTTCGTTTCCTTTTTCTACAACATGCAAAAAAAAAATTCACTACAGTATGATCTTACAATATCTTAAGAGAGAATGCACTGAATATATCCATGAAAATCGGTTTAGAGATTTTTATTGTGTTTTCAAATTATTTTACAATTCGGTTCAAGAATTTTGCCTAGCCGCCCTAGCAACACGACCCATTGGTTAAAAACCGGTTTTTCTGTAACCATGATTGGAGACCTAGCTAGTCGCTGAAAACGTTTTATTAGGGTTTTAGAGTTGTTTACTGTTTATTGGCAAAAAGCATGGATATGAAGATGATCAACGATCTAGGAGATGATGTTCTTGGCCACATAATATCTTTCCTTCCGACAAGAGAAGCTGCTTTCACATGTCTTCTCTCAAAGCGGTGGCGTTATCTGTTTTCCTTCCTAACGAATCTCCGTTTGGATTATGACGAAGAAGTGTGTGGAGGAAGAGGAAAAGATTTCGTCGGTTTTACGGATAGAGCGTTGGCTCTGTCAGGAAAATTCCCCACGAGGGAGATCTCTATAAAATGTCGAAAGAGTATCGATTCGGATCATGTCACCGGGTGGATCGCTAAATCGTTGAGACGTGGTCTCTTGAAACTTGACATAGACGTAATCGGTGAATATGGTTATTGTTATGCATTGCCTCCCGAGATCTTCTTCACTTGCAAGAACTTGGTTGAGCTGAAACTAGCAAAAGGGTTTCGGGCTACACTTCCTGGAGATGTCTCTTTTCCGTCACTTAAGAAGCTCTTTCTCGATTATGTTTGTTTCAAGAATGCAGGTTTGTGTGTTTTGGGGAAGCTTCTCTCTGCTTGTCCTGTGCTTGAGGAATTAACCGTTGTTTGTAGGAGGACTTGGCAGGTTACAAACTGCTGTCTCAACGTGTCATCTTCGAGCCTTAAGAAACTTACTATCGAATGTGTTTATGATTCACGGGACATGACTTTCGATACTCCGAATCTTGTCTACTTGGAATACAAGGATCATGTTAGAAGAAACTATCCGATTGTGAGTCTTGAGTCCCTTGTCGAAGCTAAGCTTGATGTCGTTTATTATTATAGTGGTTGCAATCCAACAAATCTGATTAAAGGGTTGAGAAATGTTGAGCTCTTAGAGTTATCAACTGCTGATACTTGGAAGGTAGAGATTGATCTCTTCTTCTCTTTTTTATTGATTGCATTTGGTTGATGACTATTTATTGACTAGGTTGATTTGTTTCAGATATTCATGGATTGCCCTCAAGACATCCCAGTGTTCAGCAACCTGATTCGTTTTTCTGTTAAAGTTAAAGTCGTCCCTCTCTACCGCTACGACAATCATTGGGAATTTCTGACAATACTTGTTAAAAAATCTCCAAACCTAGAGACTCTCGTCATGAAGGTATATAACCAAAAACCCTCGGATGTTTCTTGGACAAAAACTCGAATCTCTAATTTTCACTCTTGAATTTAGGGTCCATTAAACGTCGATGAACATGAACAACTAGGTGACAGAGATTATGGAATTGCATGTCCCGTGAAAGTACTGAAGATAACCGAGTATGGAGGCAAAACTGGAGAGCTAGAGCGGATGAAACATTTCCTTCAGAAATTGCCATGTCTTGAGCTAGTTGAAGTTCTTGCTTATGCAGTAAACGACGAGGAAAAGTCTCGGATCACCCAAGATCTGCTAATGGTTCCTAGACCGTCCAAGTGCGATATCCAGATCATGTTTTGTGAGAAAGCAATACCTTAGATTTAGTTGCTTGAGCATGAAGAAAACAAACTTTTTTTCTCTCCTAGTTGAATAGTTAAGTCCGTTGGAACATAAATCGGTTTATTTGTGTGCACATTTCGTTGCAATTGCTCTGTTCTTTTTCTTTGGATTTGTGGACATCTGTCTTTGATAAAGAAGCTATCAGATGACTTTTATACACCCTTCTACATTACTAAGCATATACATATAGTCATAGAGTCAGTGACATATCTTGAACTAAACCCAAAACATATATCAGACATCTATACATATAGTTACATATATTTTTATATTAACCACGTACATGTTTTTAAACTATTTAGATGAACCAAAAATACTTCTCGTACCTCCAGATTTGTAATTAAACAAAATAAGGAGGAAGAGAGACATATCATCGCCACCGGTGAAGAAATCTCTACCTTTCTTCATCATATCTTCGGAGAGAAACATCATATCCCAAAACGATACAGTCTTATGGTTTATCATGTATTTATTCAAATACTTTATTCATGGTATGTTCACTGTCAACAAAACGAAACACAAGAAACAAGTTAACAAAACGTGGCAAGATAAAAGATTCTGTTGAAACAAGAGAACCCGGACCGGTTTTTAAACAATTATACCGATTGTTTTATTGAGCAACCAAAGAAGAAGAGCAAGCTCAATCCCGAAAATCGTATGCAACCATGATCTGTCCACTAGGAATCCATACACTGTGATCCCAGCTCTGTTGTTCTCTAGATAAGTCACTGCCAAAAACAGAACAATCAAGAAAAAATCCGTTAAACTAACAACTTGTGTCGTCTTATAATTTGTTGAATGTCATGGAAACAGTGTTTCTTACCAAGAGCTTGACGTTTTTGATAAGAGATTGTATTGGCGTAAATAGGATGTATCTTGGTATTGTCGATATCATCGTCTCCTTCTCCTTCCTCATCAGACGAATCATTCGCATTAAAACATGGCGAAATTTGAGACTCAATCATCGAAGCTGTAGGAGTTTCTCCATCAAGATTATCGAACGAGTCTACTGTAGCGCAAACGTTCCATTTAGCTGCAAGGCTGGTCACAGATTGAGCCTTGTGAGTTATCTTCGTTGCACTTCTCAGACATATGAACAATCCTGTAACCAAACTCAACGAACATAACTGCAAAAAAAATACACAAGAGACACTGATTAGTAAATAGTATCAAATGCTCAAGAAAGTGTTCTTAAAAGAATCTTACTGCGAGCTCGCCAACTTCGTAGATGTCAACTGCAACACTAGCTCTCGTAGTGGTAAGCAACGCCGTGAACTGAGTTCCGGTGACGAGAATCAACGACAAGAGAATGAATCTCCTGAATCGGTGGCTAACGATCCTCAGATTACGACGGATCTTCTGGTGCTCGGCGAGAGCTGATCCAACGTCGGTGATCTCAGAGGCGAAGCAGCGTGCGAAATCTTCGAGACGGAGAGCTTGGAGATGGCAGGTGATTTGGTAGAGGATGCAGACGATGGTGAACATGGAGTTGCGGTAGAGCCAAGAAGAGAGCTGGAGAGTGCAGGCGATGACGTGGCTTAGAACGGGATTGATGACGTAAGGGATCTCGTGTGAGCCGGAGACGTACCACCAGATTCTGTAGATTGCTTCGAGTGTTAGTGATGGGAGGACGAAGATCATTAGCCGTTTCAGTGATCTCTGCAAGAAACAGAGCAAAACAATGAATTAGTAATTAAATATTAATAATTGAAAGTAAAGTCACATCCGACCTTAGCTCAGTTGGTAGAGCGGAAGACTGTAGTCTGTGACAGATAATCTTTAGGTCGCTGGTTCGATTCCGGCAGGTCGGATTTATTTTTTTTGTTTTGTTTTTGCCAACATTACCATATTTGTTTTTAATTAATTTAAGAGAAAATGAAACGCCACATTTAACCCGGGAAAGAAAAGCGAAAATTGTCGGCCAGAAATTGTTTAGTGGCTTTTTTATTCAGATATTTTATATTTTTATTGATTATTTTCAAGCTTTTTGGAAAGAAAAAATATCAAAAGATTCCTAAATCAAAATCAGCGGTGATTCGTAGAAAACGAAATTATTTGGAAACCGAAACTAGTGGTAGTTGATTTTTTTTCCGAAAATCGTGATTTTTATTTTTGGCAAAAAGTAATTCTCATTTTGAGGATAGAATTAGTAAATAATCACTGTCGCGTTTACTACATTAATTCTGGAATAAAAAAATGAGACTGGAAATAAATAACTAATTTATGTCAGTTTCTTGCTTCCGTCACATCGTACGTACGATAGTTGGTAAAGGTTTCTGGAATTTTAGGCTTTACGTCTCTCAAATTTCGAATTTTGAGGAACTAATTTGATCGGTGTATAGATTAACGTCATCAAACAACATGAAATTAGCGGAGAGACCCTAACCTGGATTTCAGCTTCGTATCCGATCCTAACTTTGTCGCTAGCGTCCCATAGCTTATCGAGGAACAGAAACCGCCGCATCCCAAACTTCCTCGACCAAATCGAGAGGCTAACGAACGAGATTCCGGCGAAAATCGAAAGCGAGAGCTGAACCACGGCGTCGTACGGACGTCTGTGATGGAAATCGCAGTCGGAGCAGACGAGCAGGAAGTGGGAGATCATCGGGACGATGACGACGAGGAGGAAGAAGACGGACCACGAAAGCAGAGCTGTCCAGCGATTCGACTGGTCGAACCAGAGGACGACGCTCATGAAGGAGAACCGCGACGCCGGAAACGGAAACTCCGGGTGTTTGTTGTGGATCGCGCTTGGACGGGTCTCCGGGATTAGATATTCCCGAGATCCTTGTTCCGATGCGTTCGCCATGGTTTAGGGTAATTTCGGGATTGAGAGTTTTTTTTCAGAGATTTCGCGGAATTTTGGGTTGAAACAAAGAAAAAAGAGGGAAAAAGAAAAAAGGCTAAAAAATAAAGTCGCGTTGATTTCTGGTTTTGTAAGCCACCTGTAATCTGTTTAAATACTAAAAGTTCAGCAAACTTTATAATGTTTAAATTTGAAACACACACGTATTAACATGGGGATTATATATTTTATTTTAATATTTTAAAGATATTTGTGTGGTTTCATATTTTTTTGGCTGATACTTGTTGGGAAAAGGTGTTTATTTTTCCACTCTTGATTAATATCTAAAATAATAATTAAAAACGGTATAGGCGAGTTATGGACAAAATGTTTTTCTTTTTCTTTTTTTTTTGTCAACGGACAAAATTGTTTACATAGTCATATGAGATAACCATTAATTTATTAGGTGCTTACTGTTTAGTAGGAACTGCACTCTACCTGACTTTCAAATGGTGACTAGTTTCCAGCTTCATTTGTAAAAGAAAAATAATAATAATTGGCCGACGAACAAAAAAGAGTCAAAATATACTCTACTGATATAGAGTAAAAACCAGAGACATATGAAAATATTAGTTCCAGGCTAGTGAGTAGTTTTATTTAATAAAAACTCAAATTTTAATAAAAACAAAAAAGTTTGAGCTGCACTTAACTTAGACTTCAACGTTTTTCAATTGTTTGGCAAACACAACCCAAATTATTTTGTTAGTATATTCCTACGAATATCGTTTTTTGTGTGTACAAACGTCATTGAATTCACGGGAGTAAATATCAGTTTAGTAGCTCGAAATGTTAGTTAGTTTCACGGGCTATAAAATCAGTTTATAGTTATTGACGTGTCCCCAATTTTTGTACCATCGGCCCATAAGTATTATAAGCCCAGAACATAAACCGGGTCGGATCATTTGACATCACCGGGTCCTATTTGGTAAGACATTTCTCCGGCCATGGTTTGTTCACTTGTTGGACGCGTCGACGTCGATGGGCAATCGAATGAGAAAAAGTTGAGAAACCCAGAATATCTACCCGCCTTTGGAACCGCCTTTCTTCGTCTAAATCCAACAAAAATTTCCATTTCTACGAAAAATCTCCAACCTTCACGTTTTTTACCCGTGAATTTTCTGCTCTCTGATTTTTCCGGGACGGAGATATGGAAGCGACGGTGGCGATTTCGGGCATCACCTCACGACCTTTGGTTGCTCTGCGACGCTCTGGGGCCACCGTTTCGTACAGTTGCTCTCGCGGATTGCTTCGTTATCGTCCTCTCTCTTCTCCTCGCTTGATCTTCAGGTATGCTCTCAGCTACTGGATTAGAGTCTGATTAATAAATTAATATTTCATTTTGATGTGGTGGTCACACGGTGATTTTATAAACGTTTTAATTTTGTTAATAACCAATAGTTTTCTACTTAGTCCTGTTACTGGAACTTCCAGGAACACTCATCGAGTCCAAGCAACGATTTTACAAGACGATGAAGAGAAAGTTGTTGTGGAGGAATCGTTCAAAGCCGAGACATTTCCTGGTAAAGAACCACTTGAGGAGCCAAATACGAGCTCTTCATCTAGTGCTCTAGAGGCTTGGATCATTAAGCTTGAGCAAGGAGTGAATGTCTTCCTTACAGTAAGGTTTTTATAACCCTTTACAAGAAATTTTTAAACAGTTATCTGGATTAATCACTGGTAGCTATCTTATGTGTTCTGATTGTTGTCTTGTTATGTTTTTTCAATCAGGACTCGGTGATCAAGATACTTGACACATTGTACCGTGACCGAACTTATCCAAGGTTCTATGTTCTTGAAACAATTGCTAGAGTGCCTTATTTTGGTTAGTGCCATCTATTTATTTGTTGTTTCAATTCTTGCAAGAAATGTTTAGCAGAGTATTAAGATTTTGTTTCTGTGTGCTCTCTGTAGCCTTTATGTCAGTGCTACACATGTATGAGACTTTTGGTTGGTGGAGGAGAGCTGATTATTTGAAAGTACATTTTGCTGAGAGCTGGAATGAGATGCACCATTTGCTCATAATGGAAGTAAGAACCAAATATTTCCTTTCTCTACGAGTTTTCATAAATCTTAGCTAATGTAATTGGTATAAGTAAAAAACGCATGTTTCTGATCACAGGAATTGGGTGGAAACTCTTGGTGGTTTGATCGTTTTCTGGCTCAGCACATAGCAACTTTTTACTACTTCATGACAGTGTTCTTGTATATCATAAGTCCGAGAATGGCTTGTGAGTTACTTTCTAGAAATTAACGGTGTAAAATCATGATATCGAGAAAGGCCGGCTTCTTGCCTTCATGACTTGATCAACTGTTTTGTTAACGATGCAGATCACTTTTCGGAATGTGTGGAGAGTCATGCATTTGAGACTTATGATAAGTTTCTCAAGGCCAGTGGAGGTTGGTTTTAATATTAACATATACATCTTTCTCCAACATGTTCCGTCTCATTTGCATTAGTAATGTTGTTGTTAAGTTGAATATTACACAAACTTGTTCAATTAGCTTTGACATTCTGAATGGTTTTTGCTTATCCATTGTTTCCTGAACAGAGGAGTTGAAGAAATCGCCAGCACCTGATATCGCAGTAAAATACTATACCGGAAGTGACTTGTACTTATTTGGTAAGTTTATCCTTTCCAGGTTTTATCAATGTTCTCTTGCTCTAGAGTTTTCATTTCCTTTGACTAGTAGGAATCTCTCAAACTGGTTCTCTGTTTTTTTATTCAGATGAGTTCCAAACATCAAGAGCTCCCAATACCCGAAGGCCAAAAATAGGTACAAATTTTCCTTCATAACCACAAATTGCTAAAAAGGTGTATGATTTATCTATGGTTGTGAGTCTGTATTCTGTAAAAAGACTGAGCTTTGGTTCAAAAAGTAATCTCAGTTTGTGACTTACTTGAGTGTTAAATTTGGGATCTCTAACGTTGTTTCTTGTTTTGTGATAATGGTTGGGGCAGAGAATTTATACGATGTGTTTGTGAACATAAGAGACGATGAAGCAGAACACTGCAAGACAATGAGGGCTTGCCAAACTCTGGGAAGTCTCCGTTCTCCACACTCCATCTTAGAAGACGAAGATTGTGATGAACAATCAGGCTGTGTTGTTCCTGAGGCTCATTGTGAAGGTATTGTAGATTGCATCAAGAAATCCATTACTAATTAAAATTAGAAAGGCGCAAGAAGAAAGATTAACTGTATCAGCTTATGTTTGAGGAATTAGATAATATCCCATTATACTTAGGAATAAAGGGAAAAAGTGTGAAATTCCCATCGTTTATGTATGTGGGAAGAGAACCAAATACCCATATGATGTAAATTTATTTTATTCAACTATTACTTAATGTCATCATTATAGTCGTTGGAGACCATTTTGTAGTCTCTGTGATTGTATTTTTGGTTTCAAATCATAGAATTAGAAACTGTCAATGGCATAAAGAGCTATCTTATTTTTGGTTTCAAATCATAGAAGCTATCAATGGCATAAAGAGCTATCTGTAATTTCAATAATCTGTAGTTTCAGGTTATAAATAAACGAATAGTATCTGTCGTTTCTTGTAATTTTGTTAAATGTGATTATTTTCAGAAGATTATAATCGTAAAAGTGTACAAAATGTCAAAATCATTGAATGTATGATTCCCTTAAAAAGCTCATTGGTATTAACGTTAGAATCTCTCTCTAGCCTCTTCACTTTATTGGTTTTTGTTGGGGAAAGTGTGGCCCGAAGACGACGTCGTATATGGAGACATCTCACGTGGGAAAAGCCTTGATACATGCGCGCCTTCTTTAATTTCCTCTCTTTGTTTTCTCCTTTTCTTTTTTCTTTTTCTTTAAGTTTTCAAATTATTTTTCCGCCGGTTCATTAAGAAAATATATTTTCCCGCCATAAATCTACACTATGGTCTGGTTATAGCACGGTATGATATTTCACCAGTCTGGTAAATCTGCTGTTTACTGGATTTGAATCTTTACTTGTCCCTTTTATTTCAGTTTTCAGTGTGGAGTACTATACTATCACTCTATCAGCTATATTCGATGGATGACTAAATTAATCTTTAATAGGGTTTGAAATTCGATGGAGGACCTTTTTGTTGGTAATAGAAAAATTGTAATTATTCTTCGATTTTGTTTCTACTCGAGACCCTGAAGACTTTTTTTGTTTCCAGTGAATACAAGTCGTGCAGTTGCAGAAATAGCATTAACTTTTTCTCTGAATAAAATTCTTCTGAATAGATTGAACATTGTAGTTGCGCCATTTCGTACGGCTTTGTCTGGTGAAGTGGTGATCATACATCAACATCATTATCACTTGATTAGTCTTCTTCATAACTGTGGTCTTTGTGAAAACAATAGTCGGTATTTTGAAATTTGATACCATATAAACTAAATGCGCTTATGGAATTGGGAATATAAACACTCAAGCTACCATAGTTAAAAAATAACTTTCAGCTAATTATTCGATGATTCGATTACTTTTGCATACGGATTTTTATATTAGTTGGGTTAAAAATATTAGTCCTTGTGAGGACTGAACCAACTGAACAGAATCATTTTAACTTCTAACTGTTAAATTGATTAAAAGTGCGTCAAAATAATATTAGTTCGCGGGAAATGATATATATTCGGAAACTACTTTACCGAAAAAAAATTATATATTCGGTTTAAAGAAATGTGAAAAGAAAAAAGCTCTGAAAATTCCTTTATAAATCATCATAATCACTGCGAGATCTAAACAATCTCTCTCTCTTTCTCTCTCTCTTTCTCTCTCTCTCATGGCGGAGCTGATCAGTCTGTTTCACTGGTGATTAACCGATTTTCTTCTGTTTCGTGATCGGCGAGTTTCTTTGTTAGTTTCTGTAACCGAGGCGATAATGAGTGAACTCGATCTCGGAACGAGTCAGGGGCCAACGACGGAGACACACCGCACGACGACGACGTTTCTTGATTTGCTCCGACGACAGATGAGCGGTGTCGATCGCACCAGGAGGAAGCGGACTCTCAAAGAACGGCTGAGATTCAAATGCATCGGATGCTGTGGGCCCACCTGGGGTCTCCGTCTAACTAACAGTACGACTACTCTTCACAGTCCCACTCCCAGCTCAAGAGAGGACGACGAAATCGGAGAACAATCTGATACCCGAATCGTCCCCGGGTCGGACCATGGATCGGGTACGGGTATGAATCTTGCGACGGCGCTAGAGGCGGAGAGATACAACCGCGGAGATCCGACGGAGGCGGCGGAAATCATGACGCCGAGGAGAGTATCGCTGATGAGATTGCTGGAGGAGACGACTGAGAGAGTCGTTGCCGCTGACGACGGAAGAGAGACGGAGATTGTAACGGCGTCGATTGGGACGTTAACGGGAAATGATTCGGTGTGCTGCGTGTGTATGGGAAGAAAGAAAGGCGCGGCGTTTATTCCATGTGGCCACACTTTTTGCAGAGTTTGCTCCAGAGAGCTGTGGCTAAACCGAGGCTCGTGTCCTCTCTGCAACCGTCCGATCATCGAGATCCTCGACATATTTTGACTATAAAATCGGACGGCTGCGAGTTCTCGATCCACTTAATTACAGTGAGGTGAGGCGTAGACGCAAAAGTTTAACTACGGTTATGTACTTTGTAGTTTGTACGTTTCTTTTGGTATGGAAGCTGATGTAAATGTAAAAAATACATGAGATTTTTGTTCACAAGGCCCATTAAATCAATGTGTAAGCCCACGAAACCAATAATTTTGGATGTTCCTCTCAATCGCGTAGCTCAAAACGCTACAGAACGCGGTTGGCGACAATACGCTTCCATGATATTTATCGCATGGTAGCAAATCTCCACCGTTCAAAGACCAAAGACCGTTGGCAATGGGAGATGATCGTAAAAACAGCCAGAAAGTAGTACAGTGCGGAAGTTTTTAGCCTTATACATTGATCATGCCGTTTGCATGGCGCTTATCCCGTAAGGAACTAGAGATGATAAATAAAACAACTTTCCTACACAATTTTTTTTTTTCCGTAGACGCGAATGGAAATGTTTAATTTCTGATTTATGAGTACTTTTTTTATGTCTGTCCATATTGAAACACACGACATAAATTTTTTATTTTATTTTTCTTAACTTACAGAGTTACAGTATACACAAATTTAAAAGAGTTTTTGTTTAACACATAAGAAATTGATGAGCTATACATTATTGTATGTAAGACATTCGACTTGAATAGCATTAAGTCACATCGTCCGTTGACCGTTGTAATAATTCTATTTTTTAGTTTTTAGTTTGTTCTTTCGAAAAAATGGTATAAATTTAAAATATGGAAACAGTTAAAATTTTAAAATGCAAATTTTAAAATGCTTGACTAATCCTTTATGCTTTTTTAGTTAACAAATTTTTGGGATTTCTTGCTAAAAAAAAAAAAAAAAAAAAAAAAAAAAAAAATTCTCGCCTCACACCGTCAGACGACGACACAACGCTTCAAATGCCGATTCTCATCCGTTGATCTTATCTTTCACGTGGCTACATCGGACTCGATTGTATTGATCTGTATGTGAAAGTCGATACTGCCCCTCCTAGTTTGCTTTGAGTAGTCGATGAGAGGAGAACATTTACGTCATTTCTCACTTCAATTACAATGGCTATAAATTATCAGTATGGATCTTTTCTTGTTCACTAGCTTCGAATTTCGTACGAAGAAAAAAAATGGCGACGGTACAACTGTTCAGCCAATTCCCCTGCAAAGCTCGAGTGTCGAGCTCAGCGATCTCTAAATACCTCCCGAAGACTCCAGTTCTGGTGCCGATGAGCTCGATTTGTCGCCGTCCGGTGTTATCAACCAGAGGAATCGCTGTTTCCCGGGCGGATTTCAGAGCCCGAGCCACTGATGCGGAAGACGAGTGGGGTTCGGATTTGGTAGAGACAGGATCTGCTACTTTGATGGCGGAGGAAGCAATCGAAGCTGTGGAGGAGACGGAGCGGCTGAAGAGGACGCTGGTCGATTCGCTGTACGGAACAGATCGGGGTTTAAACGCATCGAGCGAGACCAACGCGGAAATCGGAGATCTAATCACACAGCTCGAGTCGAAGAACCCTACCCCAGCTCCTACCGAAGCTCTCTTCCTCCTCAACGGCAAATGGATCCTCGCGTAAGTTTTCCGGCAGTGATTTGTTTTCAGAGTAACTTTTGCCGTTAGAGTAGGATTCTGGATTCAATTTTTTTGCTATGAAACGATGAAGGTCTCTCTAATGGTGAATGAAATCTCGCGCTGCTCGTAGATTCGTAATTTGGTTTGAATCTGTTTTGGCAGTTACACATCGTTCGTGGGTTTGTTCCCGTTGCTTTCAAGAGGAATCGTTCCGTTAGTAAAAGTCGATGAGATCTCACAGACCATTGATTCCGATAACTTCACCGTCCAGAACTCTGTTCGTTTCGCTGGTCCTCTAGCCACAACCTCGATTAGCACAAACGCCAAATTCGAAATCAGAAGTCCTAAACGCGTCCAGGTAAATTTCACAATCCATGAACCAAATATCTGATTATCAATTCAACACTTTGAAACGACTCAGTAAACATTTTTGGATTCGTTTAATCGCAGTTTAAGTTCGAGCAAGGCGTAATCGGGACTCCACAGCTAACGGATTCGATTGAAATCCCGGAGTATGTTGAGGTTCTTGGTCAAAAGATTGATCTTAACCCAATCAGAGGATTGCTTACCTCGGTACAAGACACAGCCTCGTCTGTGGCAAGAACCATATCGAGCCAACCACCGTTGAAATTCTCTTTGCCAGGGGACAATGCGGAGTCGTGGCTCCTCACGACTTATCTGGACAAGGACATTAGGATCTCTAGAGGAGACGGTGGAAGCGTCTTTGTGCTCATCAAAGAAGGAAGCCCTCTCTTGAATCCTTGAACAATCGCCAAAAATCTACATCTCTCTCTCCTTTATGCTAAATTACACAATGAGTGTTCAGTGATGCTGTTATGGTTAATCGTTATTTTTAACTAGGAAACGAAGAAATAATTTTGTAACTGCAATGTAGCTTCTTTGCTATTTACAGGCCTGTGACATGTGTGTCTTTGAGTTTTCACACAAATGCAAATGTTGTTAAAAAATCCATTGCTCTTTGGTTTTCTCTTGTTTTAAAAATAGTCACAATGGTTTCGTAATTATATCATCACTAAGGTACTAATGAATTTCGAATCTGAAATTTTGTGATTTCGGAGGAATTAATATTTTAAAATGAAGCATTGAAAGAGAAGGTTATAAAAAGAAAGGTCGTTGAAAAGAAAAAGTCATCAGATTCTCAGGTTAGCGTCTTAAGTTGGCTTAAACCAATAAAATAAGATAAAGAAAATATCCTAGAACCGTCCACGTGTCCAAGCTTATGTCTGAACCGAACCGCCTTCTCACAAATCCATTAAAGGAAAACCTCGATATCGATTTCAATCTCTCATTCCAAAATCCGCGGAAAAAAAGTACTCTGAAAACCCTAATTCGACGATGATGCTCAGGCAAGCTGCGAAGAAGGCTCTCGGGATTACATCTCGCCAATCGACTCCATGGTCCGTTGGTGTCTTCCGATCCTACCACGAGAACGTCATCGACCACTACGATAATCCCCGCAACGTCGGCTCCTTCGATAAGAACGATCCCAACGTTGGTACGGGGCTCGTCGGAGCCCCGGCGTGCGGTGATGTGATGAAGCTTCAGATCAAGGTCGATGAGAAGACCGGTCAAATCATCGATGCTCGCTTCAAGACCTTTGGCTGTGGCTCCGCCATCGCCTCCTCCTCCGTCGGTATGTTTCACCTTCTAATTTCTCGCTTCGATTTCGTGTGTTCGTTTCTATGAGGTACGAATTCCAATTAGGGATTTTGATTAGTTTTTTCTATCAGTTTGAGAAATTAGGTTACAAATTCTGTGGAGGCGGTTCTCCAATTTGGGGGTTTGGTGCTCTAAATACCAAATTAAGCCATGATTAGGAGCTGAGACATTAGTCGTTCTATGATGAAATGAGCGTTTCTTGTGAATTGAAGAATGTGAATTAGTAATCATTTTGAAAGATTCTTGTGAAATATTTTCCCTTTTTTTTTTCAATTCGAGTTCGTGTTGTCCTTGTCAAATATCTGGCGTATCGTCTATGTGGTTGCGACTTGAGCTATCCTCTCTCTGTCATTGCTGATTCAACTTTGAAACTTTCTGCTTTCTGATCCTAGTTGCAGTTTTCTCTAATGTTGATTGGTGTATGATTTTTTTCAGCCACTGAATGGGTGAAAGGCAAAGCTATGGAGGAAGTCTTGACCATCAAGAACACGTAAGTACCGTTCGCTCGTCTCTTATATTTTGTTTGATAATCTGGCATTTGTATTTCCCAAGAAAATGATGCATTTGCAGAACATTAATATAGTTTTTCGCGAGATGTCTATTTGGTTCACTCTTTGATTGTTGAAATACCAGTTGCTGTATTTGGATGATTTGGATTTTGTTCTGAGTGACTTAGTCGCTGGACTTGGTCTATTGGGTTTTTGATATTGGTTACTGGTAGTAAATTCTCTTGACTTCTTTATTCGTAAAGAACATAAGCATTGTGATCAATGTCATGGAGTTTTCTCAATAGCTAAAGTCCTATTTTTTTCTTGTTTGATTTGTTTTTGGCAGTCAGATAGCGAAGCATCTATCTCTCCCACCAGTGAAGCTCCACTGCAGTATGTTGGCGGAGGACGCCATAAAGGCAGCAGTGAAAAACTACAAGGAGAAGCGTGACGCTGTAGCAGCTGGAGAAACCGCACAGGCTTGATTCCTTCTGCTGATGTTTGTATACCATAATATGTGTATATGATGGTGAAAACAGAGGAGGCGTAGGAGAAGAGGATGATACGTACAAGCTATTGTATGTCTCTTAAGGTTTCAAGTCTAAGAGAAGTACTTTGAATAAACTATGTTGACAAAAACATCTGATAAGAATGGTTTGCTTTTTTTTTTTTACGCTTTAGTTTTTGCTGTTTTATGCATCCATGTGTTGTATTCGTTTTATTTTCTTTTGGGAGATTTTATATCTATTACAGACAAGTTTACAGTTTTTGTGTTTTGACATCTTCACATTATAATCTTAATTCTCTGTCTAGAAGTACATTGAACCAACGTCTTTATTGCAACACCCTCTCTGTATCTCTTACCACTTTTTCTATATAGCAGCTTTTTTTTTACAACTGTTCATCACCAATCAAGAATCTTAAAAGCAAGAGTAAAGAATTAGGAGCTTTGGTGTTATGTATATTATCTTTTCCTTTTCTTTCTTTAGATTCGATATTATCATCAGGTGGTATTGTAAATGAGCCCGAGTTAGCTAAAGTATCAAACTCTTTCAGATGAGTTACCTAGCTCTTACGTCAAGCTGCAACACATACACAAAAATACTGACGCCATTTCTATCTCTTGGAATGATCACTCGGCCTCATTACCACCATCATAAGAGTAGCAATAACAAAAAGGTAAAAAATCTACTTCCCCAAGGCACGCGACATCATAATACTCGAGCTCCATGCAACTCTTCTTGCAATCTTCAATGGTGACACAAGGACCGCTTATGAAGTACAATTTAGTGAGATCACACTTCCCCTCCACTACCGTATTCCAACACATACAAAAACACACACATTTATATATATGTAATAATTTGATTGAATCTTTAGGAAAAAGATTTTGATTTGACGTATCTGAAGCAGATAAGAGGAGGATGGAGAGTATGAAATACACTCACTATATGTCCATAGCATCATTTAGTATAAAACTTAGTATATGTACTATCTATATGTAACGAGACCGGCGTGGTCAATATTGTAAAGACTCATTTGTCAACTGTGCTAGGAACCATTCTTCCACACCGTCCTTAATCTTCTTCACTGTTTCAAGATCCGAGAACACGCCTTTAGATAGAAGAAACACATTTCCACTTTTGATCCACTAAAACTCTCATGCACCCAAAGGTATATGTGCCTGCTCTGCTCCTCCTTCGTTGAATATTCCAAGCCATTCTTGAATCTTCCGTTTTTCCTGCTCATCAACTTTAGACCCAAAAGTAATTTGGCCAAGTTTATGGTTTGTCCTATAGCTGTCTCACTTCCTGGTTTTGAAACTCGAGGACGGGTATGGGGAGCGTAGCGTCACCATACTTCTTTTGTGATTTGTATTGATTTGAAAAATAATAAGCTGATAATGGGAACATCTATTTCAATGAGTGACAAAGTAGAGAAAAACAGAATAAATGTCTCAATATGTTCAATGTGATGAAAACTTAGAGCAAAAAGTCGATTGTAATATAAAATTTATGAAATCCAAATAACATTAAGAGGGAACAATATGATAAGAGTTGAAATCCAGAATATAAAGTCTCCAGTAGATAATATATATGAACACGCTTACATAAGCTTGATATTCTCCACATAGTCTAGAAAGGTGTCAATATAAGCCCGACGATACTTAAAGTCTTCAAATCCCCGAATATCGACTCTTGTAAGAGTGTTCTTCTCGAGATTGTAGAAGTAAACACAGAATCGGTTTAAATAGTTGTTTCTGAACGACGACCATACAATTTCACCTGTACCAGTCATTCCAACAAACGTCTTCTCTCTGATCAAACTAGGCATTTCGTAGGTTTGCTTGGACCATTCATGACTTGCAGCATCTTCTAGAACCCACAACACAAGTTCTGTGTCCTCATTTGTTTCCTCACGTATACCTAATTTACCTTTGTAGTTAAACAAAGTCAAATAACCAGACTCATAATTCTCTCCTAACATGTCTTCATCTAAGTTGATAAAGCCGAACTTCTCAGACCTAATGTCGAAGCAAACAATCACGGAAGATTGTCCTCCCATCTTAGCTCCGAAATACAAAACACCATTTATGCATATCTCATCACGCATTCTATCATCCGGTGTAAAACTGAATGCAAAGTCGATCCTTCTCCATAGACGGTGTCCAGACTCCAATGTCAAAACCTGATGAGTATTGAGTCTCCCACAAAGTGACGAGGTCATACACAGCACTTTGAGTTTTTTGCTGATGGGATCATATCCAAGATAGATTCTTGCAATAGAAGCATCCGATGCTTCTGTGTCGGGTAAGGATTTTCTATTCAGAGGCACTTTGGGCAAGGTTATGAACTTTCCCGTGATAGGGTTACAAAAAACCAGAACCCTATCTTTTCTTTTATATTTTCCTTGAAGAAGCGCCAATCCACAGACCAAGGTACGGTTATCAGTTGGAAACCATCTAGCGGATGACTTATCGTAAAAGGTGGCTACAAGAGTGGAGTTGTCATCTGGATTTTGAGGCTGAGGTGAAGAGTAGCAGAACAATTGTCCGTTATATATTAAAGTGAAGAAGAGACGTGGACGAGTGGAAGAATTAGTCAGAAAGGCATCTCTGAAATCAGGACGACGAAGTAGGTATCTCCAGGATTTCGATACGCAGCGAAACCTATCTATAGACTTTCTCGGGAGTCGAGAGAATATATCGATAAGTATATCAACTGGGATTGGGTCTAGGTTGTATTCTCTTACCGGCTTGGGAGATTGTGTTTCAATTCTGGAGGTGATTGATAGATTCTCCGAGACATGCTGCTCCAACTTTTCCATGGCGGATTGTACAAACCCTAGATATTAGTTTATGATCGAGAGCTTAATCTTTCCTGAATTTCGACTGGCTTTATATGCAAGAATTTTAAATGGGCTATATTAGAGCCCAAGTCATACTGAGTAAAACCAATATTTGAATATTAATCAACACAAAACATACGATACAAGCGAACAAAGGGTGTACAAATTACATAGATGTGAGATGATATCATATCATATCATCCACATGGACCAAATACACACACACACACACACACACACACACACAAAGTAACGTCGATTATTGTCTTTCGGAATCATATGCGTTCTTCTTCAGCATGCTACGATCCACACACACACAAAAACACAACACATACATCACAAGTGACGTCGTTTCTGTCTTCTTGGAAAATCACATGTTTTCGTTTTCAGCACCGGTAACAGCATCATCATAATAGCAGCAGTAACAATTCATCATAAGAGTGATAATTTTCCCGCTCGGACGGCACTCGCCACCATAAAACGTCTCTCCACTCCTGGTCTTGAACTTCAAGCACTTCTCCTCGCAAACACTTGTACTCTCCCAAAGGGGACAAAAGCCGTATGGGAAGTCACACTTTCCCTCCACCTCTGTCCAATCCATATATACAAACACACGTTTGAAGATTAAACATGTTTGCATGTATTTTAATTAGCTCTTACTAAAGAAGATTTTTGATTCTTACGTACCGATAGGAGATAGGAGTAGGACGGAGACACAAATGAATACCACAGCAACGACAACTGTGCTCAACCTTAAGCCCTCCATTACAGATCTCTCAAATCTCTCGTTCTTTCCAATTTGATTCTTCCTCTCTTTGTGATTCACTTAGCCAAAAGGAGGTGTTAATTTATAGCACTGGTAGAGGAGTAAGACTCAATCAAACGCGTAATTTTTTTGTTTTTAACATTTACTCTTTGCTACGTGGATCGTATTAAAAATTGATTTAATTTCTAATTAAGACTCTCCACTATGTGTCCTTATAACATCAATATATCAAATCTGATCTTTTATCTTTATATTATTAATTGAGAAGTACATTCTAATGTTTGGATACAAGAATTAGAGAAACATCTATTTGGATAGAAGAATAAATGGAAACAAAAGTTGTTTGGATATAAGAATAAGAGAAAAATCTATTTGGATAGAAGAATAAATGGAAAAAATTGTTTGGATACAAGAATAATAACTTAAAATAAACCGATGGTTTAGAAAACTTCCGTTTTCCATCTCTTAAAAATCTGCAAAAAAGAAAACTTAACATAATCTAACGATAATTCCAAATCAATAGAATATGCTTTTTGGATTTTCGGGTTTTTATAGACAAGTTCGGGTTTGGGTGAAAATCTGAGACATAATTTTATAGAGATATATATAGAGATATAGAAATTGTTCGGGTTTCTTTGAAAATTTCTGTTCGGGTTAGGTTCAATTTTTTTTTTCAGTTTAGGGTTTTCCGGATTTTTTAGATTTCTGGTTTTCGGGTTTAGATATATTAAAAAAATTGAGTATTTTAAAATTTTGATTAGGTATTGGGGTCGGGTTCCGGGTGAAAAAGTTTCCAGATTTTTTTTGTTCAGTCAGGGTTTTCGGGATTTTTTTGATTTCGGATTTTCATGTTTAGACCTATTAAAAAAGTTTGGGTTTTTAAATTTTTTGATTAGGGTTTTTTGTCGGGTTCGGATTTAGGGTTTAAATTTTCTACACAAAACAACAACGTCACACCGCACAAACGTGCGGGTACTCTACTAGTTAGTATCTTATTATATAAAGTTGGATGCGCACGATGTGGTTACGACACGTAGGATTTTTATAAAATTCAGGATTGTGACATGTGTCACTTTTAAGTTTATGTCCATTAAGATCGTGACACATGTCTTAGGAAAAAAGAAGAACTTAAAAAAAAAGAATTTCAGAAAAATATTAATTAAAAAAAGACGAAATTTAATTTAATATATTATATCAAAAAAAGAAAAAAATATTTGTCAAATCCAAACAGAAAACAATTTTATATCAACATGATCTTAGCAGAGATAAATAAGCAGAGATTACATAAAGTTTTATTTAAAAAATAAACACACACACACACACACCAAAGTCGTTACAAAGCAAGAATTAGTAAACAAGTAGAAAGAGAGTGAGGCAGGAAGGGAGGTGGATCCGTTTACCATCTATCAGATAGCTTCCGCTGGAGAAGAGTCGCATTTATAGAAACATCTACAGATCGTTATAGGATGGTCCGGAGGAGGTATCTGCCAGCATGAACCATTTAACACTCTTTCACCAAATTGCTCTACGCATCTTTTCCGGCAATAGTCTTTATCCCCAAGGTTAGAACAAATCGCATCGTAGCCTACGCACTCGCGTCCCTCCACTAATTATATGTCGCATGCACACATCACACATATATGTCTGTGTTTAGATGGATTTTTATTGCTTTCCTTTTGCTATTTAAGAAAAACTGAATATAACGGGACGTGTTTGTGTATATGTACCTGCTGGAGAATGAAGGAGAAGGGAGAGAAAAAGGCATGCAACAACAACAGCTGTGGTAAACCTCCTCAAGCAACCCATCTTCTAGTATATATGATTCTTGATCTCTTTGTGGAGAATTACAAGACAATAGTTAAATGTATTTATAGCAACGAAGATGGACTTGAAGGGGCTTATCAAGAGCCTTCTTTAGATATATCCATTTGAAATAAAGAAGAAAAAAAAGAGATGGGGTAGTAGCTTGCCTTCAATTAAACATGATTTTTTTCTATGTACACGCGAGTGGCGTTGCATATATTATATTACTGAAGATATCAACATATATTAGAAAAGTCGTTTTTTTGTTTGACTATATACATGATTAGTTTTTTTTTTTGTTAATTTGAGTTGTTTGCGTTTAAACTAATATTTTCCACCAGCATCCATCACATTGGGTTTGATTGCATACTTCTAATTGCTACGATTAGAGCCGAACCGCCTTGAAAATTACCAATCAAGAAAGGTGGTTGGAGAAAGTTAGAAGTGAAAAAGTATATGACACATGTTGGATTTTTTTTTAAAAAAATTAAGGTGTTATTTATTAAATTTGTAATAAGTTTATTCCAACACATTTAAAAGTTAATATATAGTCAAAATAAGAAAATCACACTTTGTATTATACTATTTTTCCATTAGTTTCATTTTATAACTGACTTGAACTAGCCAAGGAAGGACCTCTTCTCTCAAAAAATACCTCTAGAGTCTAGACCAAGAATCAACTTGTGGTATTATTAATCGGTTAATTGTACATTAATTGGAAACAATCCAACTTAAGCTGAAACATGATCAACGCATAAAAAAAAACATAAACAGAAGCAAAGCAGGGCAGGGTGAAAGAAAGTAGAAGCCAATTAAGCACTCATATATAGACATGAAATGATACTATAAACATGCAACACCCACACACAACGTACTTTATCGTTTCTGTCCTTTGTAATCATATGCTTTCTATTTCAGCGCGGCTGCGTTCTCTAACGCAGCAGAAACATTCCGGTGGAAGAGGTAGTGCTGACCTCGCAGGACGGCATTGGCCATCGTAATACTCGTATTTCTCGTCCTTCACCTTCAGGCAACTCTCCCTGCAATAGGCATCGGAATCAGAGAAAAAGGGCCAGAACCAACATATGCTGTATGGTTTGTCACACGTTTCCCTCCCCTCCACTTCTTTGCAATCCATACAATTAAAAAGACACATTTTAGAAACTTGTTTTCAATGTATTTAATTAGATCTTGGTGAAAAAGATTTTGAATGTTACGTACCGGTAGGAGATAGGAGGAGAATGGAGAGACAAACCACAACTGTGGAAACAACAACTGTGCTCAACCTTAAGCTCCCCATTGCTGATCTTTTTCTCTTTGTGATTTATTTAGCAATTAGGGTTTTTGGTTTTAGCAGACTATAGATTGAAAGGGGAGTTGCATTATTTTATTTTACATTTACTTTTCAGGGAGAGTTTTAATATTAAAATTTAGACTATCCAAGACGTGTCCTATACCTATTGTTCTAATTTCAAGACACAAATCAAACATTAGTGATCTCATCTCCAATACTTTTTTAAAAAACATGAAATATTCTCGCTAACATCATTGAATATCATATATCTAACGAGATGGCTCAATATAATATAGGATGCTATGTCATATAAACCAAAAGAAAAAAAAAGAGAAGCAAAGTACACAAGGCAAGCAGTAAAAGTCTAAAATATAGAAGTGGTCAGACGAAATCACAAAGAGACGTCGTTTTGCTAGCTTCTGGAATCACATGCTTTCTTTTTCAGCACGCTTACCATCATAATGGCAACACATACAAGTCCCTGAATCCATCGTAGCAACGCATACGCCGTCAAAATAATTGCTACCCAACATGAGGCATCTCTTCCTGCAAGAGTATAGGATTGGATCTTTACACACAAGTATGTGGAAATGAAGAAGCGTTTTCAGTGTTCTCTTAAATAGATTCTCAGTATAGAGTTTAAAGTTGCTTAATGAGAGAGATACATTGGGACCCTCAAAGAGTCTAAAGATCCACGTTTTTGCATAGATATGTTGTGACTCAACCCATTACCTCTCTGTTTTGGGGGCCCATCAACCTTATCTTTCAAAACACATAAATCAATCAATTTTGTTTTCCTTTATTTATTGTGACTGATCCTCCTCCAAAAATACAAATTTTGTTCCCAACAAAAGCTTCTTCAATCTCACTTCAACCTTAACAAAAAGACCACCACCACCACCACGTACGGTTTTCACCATACACACCACATACTCCCTCTTCACTGCAATAATTCTATCAAACACCAAGAGGTCCAAAACCTCTCTCTATCTCTCTTTCTCATATGCTTAGTTAAAAAATGAGGAAATTTTGTTTGTTCGGAAGCTCAAGTATAAAGCAGCATCTCATCAGTCATCACTGCAACTTATCTTCAGACATGAAGCAGAGTCGACGTCTTCACCATCATCGAGGAAAAGGGAGAGATGAAGAGTATGAAATGCTTCTTCTCTCAGCTTGAACAACCTCTTAAAGCTTATTCTTCCTCCACTTGGTGTTGCAAGCTACAACCAGAATCACATATGTTCTAGTGGATGGATCATATCTCTCCCATGGATTCAAGATACAGGTACAATCCATACTCTTCTTATCGATTATCTCTCTGAAAGGAAAGAAGCAACATAGGTACCTGAAAAACGCATGCTGATATCGTTTTCGTGTGACACAAGAAATCTACAGAGTTAATGGTATTTATATGATGCTCTGTTCAGAGGCAGATAACTAAAGTTATGCTTGAATTAGTCAACTGTGCTAGGAACCATTCTTCCACATCGTCCTGAATGTTTCTTCCCATTGTCAAGAAGTAGTGCATGGTGAATGTTAGAGTGAACTGAAATTTGATCAACAATAACTTTTTTTTTCATTTTCGGATACGTTTGAAGTTTTTAAATCTTGTCTTTGAGGTCATTGAAGGAAGGGATACTCTCGGGTCTCGGCTTCTCTGATCATATCCATCTTACTCGTTTGAAAGGCTAACAAGTATCCGACTTCACCGAATAATCTCCACTCTTGTTGTGCTTCCAAATCGAAAAGTCCTCTTGATGATACGGGTCTGTGAGTCTTTATTTGAATGATATATTGAGGGTAGAAGAGATGTTCCAAAACATCAATATTCCAACATGTATTCTCCACATCTATCAGGTTTTTGACCATCAAACAAATGTTTATTAAAGGATTTTTTATCAAAAGAGGCCTCTTTCTTTCCGAATCAAGCCAAGTTCCATAATTTAGTGAATTCCCAATGTCTATTCTCTGTTGAAGCATATATGATACTTATAACAAATTAACCATCAAAATATAGTTCAAGATACTAAACATAACTTCCATAAGAAAGGCAAAAAGGCAGAGATTACATAAGGTTTTATTCTTAAAAGAAACCAGAAACACACACACATACACACCAATGGTCGTTACAAAGCTACTTAGGGCGATTTATAAAACATAAAAACAAAAACACACATAGAAAGTGAGAGGTAGGGGTCCCCTAGGGGAGGGAGAGATGGATCGATCATCACATGGTTACCCCTGTCTTTGACATGTCGTAGTAACAGACACAAAGCCTGAACGGCTTTAAACCCGAAATCCTGTCGCATGTGCTTCTCACTAGTTTATAATTCCATGCTTGCCAGCAGCGTTCATTGCATTCATCAGGGTTCCAACAAATCCCCAATTCGTCTTTGCTCTCGTGTCCCTCCACTTACATATGTCCCATGCACATACACGTCAATTTTTAGATGTATATTTATTGCTTTTGCTATTGAAAAGAAAAAAGCTTGATTATGTATAGGTATGTATTAGTTTAGCTGCAAAAGACTTACCTGTTGGAGATTGGAGAAGAAGGGAGGAAAAAAGGACTGCAACAAGAACAACAACAACTGTGTTAAACCTCAAGCTACCCATCTCTCTAGCTCTCTCTCTTTTATTGTCTTTATTTCTAGTTTGATTTTGTTGTGAGGAATTACAAGACACACTAATATATACTATATTTATAGCAACCGATCGGCTCCGATTAACACTGACTACTCTCTTCAAGTAATCCTTATTATTTTAAGACTCTCAGCGTCATCGTGGTAACAGGTGTCCTATTACTTTCAACACTAACTCAAACAATAATAATAATATATATACACGTTTATAACTTTATATACACGTTTGCGACAAACATTTTGTTTTTATAGGTACCTCAAAGGTTCTGTTTGAGAATTCCTTCTACTTTCTCATTCTTTTTAATATTTTTTTAATACTAAGACATGAGAACCATCGATCGATTGGGGATGCTCTTAGGTGGAAGTCTAGACTGATCTCCGCTAGTATAGTCTTATTGACATGAATGGATTGAATTCTTTTTTAGTCCATTATACTCCATTCATGTTTTTTATAGAAAAGTGGTCACCTGCTTTCAGTATATGAGTATAATAGTATGAAAGATGACGCGTGGACAATAATTTAGAAACAGATTTATGTAAAACATACTCCCGTAAATATTTCGTTGGCATTTCTCTATCACTTACTATTGTATTATTTAATACGACGGGTATGAGTCATACCGTATGACAGGTCTATCTTGGAGCAAAGTTACTCGTGCAGCTACACAACACAACATTTTAAAACTAAGACCTCTAGATGTTAATTATGCCATTTTGTATTGGTTAGTGTACATGAGGTTACCAAATGGACAAATGCCAATCCAAACCGCATTTATCTTCTTTATTTGAGACAGTATAAGCATTTGACTTCTCTAGCTGTCCTAATTAATTTCTTGGAATCATAAACGGAACGTCTACGTATTTTGTTTGTATATATATTGTCTAGGCAAACCACGAAAAAGTTGCTACCCAAACTGAGGCATCTTTCCGGAAAGGGTTTAGGATGGTTTCTAATGGAAAGCACGTACCGTTTGGGTAGTCACACTCACTCTCCAATTCAGTCCAATCCACACACACACACACACACACTCATTTTTCATAATTATAGAAAGCACCAGACCATAAGAAGCTTGAGCCACACCACAGACTCGCACCTATTGCTATTGTTCAAAACTTCTACAACCTCTTCCAACCATCTGCTCATTAGCTCTGATGAAAGCATGTTATTGAATATTATTTCTATTAAAGGAGATAATATTATTATTATATTATTTTTCTCCTTCGACGTTTTTTTTTTTCAAATGATGATGGAAAGTTGGAAACAATTAAGTAAAAAAATATTTGAAAAGTATATGGCATATCCTGAAATTGTTAAAAGGTGTTTTGGGGCGAATTAAATATATCAAGAAATGAAAGGATCGGATAGCAAACTTTCTCGCTCATTCTCTGTTCCTCTTTCTCTCATCTTGGCGCTTTTGAAAAATAGAAACCCGCCACTGAACGTCAGGCTTCCACGTGTGCCTATCCGGCACTCTGTTTCCCAATCATCGGAGACGTAAATCTTACTGCATTTTAGTGATTTCATCAAGTCTAATGTGAGGTTAGGGTTCTTGACAATTTTCTCTCACAGACCAAAAGACATGATTTTTGAAGTATGATTTGAGTAAATTCCATTGGATACTTTAGTCTTCTTCTATGAGACTAATTCTGGTTTTCTCGTTTGGGACATTTTGTTAAACTTGGCAGGTTTCATGGATAATCTTAAAAGAAAAGCAACTTGGACATACTTAGGCAACATGGTGAAGGAGCAAAGTAGGCATTGTCATAATTATTACTTATGGGATCATCTTAAAGACATTTCTCAAATAACAGAGGACAAACAGGTCGGTTACAATATCTTTCACCTTTGCCCTTGTCTTTTTTTTTTATTTTAAAATCTAACCATGTGATTGCCTCAAAAGCCAATTTAAGAATATATGATCAATCTAGATGAATACTATACCGAAGATGACTACTCGAATAGGGAAATATATCGCCTTTTTCGCCTAAAAAACTGGTCCACTGCTGGTATCTAATTCCTTTTAATCTCATCTCTTCTGCTTCATATACCCGCTAGTCAAATGTTCATAAGTACACACAAGTATGTGGAAATGAAGAAGCATTTACAATGTTCTCTTAAATAGATTCTCAATACAGAGTTTAAAGTTGCTTAATGATAGAGATACATTGGGACCCTCAAAGAGTCTAAAGATCCACGTTTTTGCATAATTCTGTGACTCAACCCATTACCTCTCTGTTTTGGGGGCCCATTCACCTTATCTTTCAAAACACATAAATCAATCAATTTTGTTTTCCTTTATTTATTGTGACTGATCCTCCAAAAATACAAATTTTGTTCCCCACAAAAGCTTCTTCAATCTCACT